TAATTTGTCACTAATTTGGTGTTCTATAGCTATCATTGCCAATCCATTGAGACGATTTTGCGTCTGCATCGTTCTGAGATAATTTTTTATTATTTTTTGTTTTGAAAAGCTTCTTTCCCCTGAAGCCACAGTGACTGGCAATGTAAGTAGGATTCTTAATGCTATGCTGAGGTTTGGTGCTAATTTAAGTGTAGCGATAAACTTAAGAACTTCAACAGGGGTTTCCTTTTTTGTTAATAATGACGAAACAATGCTTATTTCATCGGCTAGTTCCAGGGCGTTAAGATCGCTTGAATTTCCATCAGTTAAAACTATTTCCAAATCTTTGCAATGAGCCAGTAGCTCATTTCTGGGCATGTCTTTTAGACCAAAAATATTATACAAAAAGACCAAAATATTATATAAACCAAAGTATTATTTAGACCAAAATATTATTTAGACCAAAAATATTATTTAAAATACAATCAATTCTTGAAAGGCAGGGGTTGAGTGGTTTTGTCATGTTGAATTGAATTCAACTAGGTTTTGCATTATTGTTTAAATGTATTATATTATTTGAATTGTGTGCTTAGAAATAAAAATGATAAATTCCGCCTGCCGCCTCTCAATCTTGTTAACTATCATTTTGGCGCGTCCCTAGATCATTGCGCTCCGGGCGGCCGCCCGGATCGCCCTGCCCTGGGGCCGGCCCTGATGCAATAATATGATGGCGCGTTTTTTCAATCTGCGGCGTAAAAATGTATCGGAAGCAGTAACCAGGAAGTCTTGCGAGAGCAATTTAACCACTAGCGCCACCACCCTTAATCGCCAATTTTTTGTTGCGACAAGCAGAAGTAGGAGGCGTTACTCATTGCTAAGGCTCCTCCCCATTACAATAAAGAAACTGCGCACGCTCGATAACAAGCCTATAAGAAGGCCTCATGGATCTTGTGAAACATGCCTGTGCGTAAAGTTTATAATACGTACGTTGCCATACAAATATAAATGTTGAATGGTACTGCATTTTAACTTCAACTTTATGTATCACTCTCCTTTACAGCGCTACCTATTGATTTTATTCAGCACTGCTCAAGTGGACGAAATGTCTATTGTGACGTTTAAGCGACTGTAAATTATATATTTTCTTTCATTTTAATTGCACTCCGCTAGGACAAAAGCTTTGTCAACTTCAAGTGAGTTAAAACATTATTATATTTATTTGCTTTAATTTTATTTAAACCTGGATCTTTATATAAATGTGTGACAATATTTAATAAACTACGGATCAAATGTAATTATTATCGAAGTTGGCTGTTTCTTTTTTAATTATAATCATTGTGATTTAGACTGTTAAGAGATCACTGAACTGCGTTTCTGCCATCTTGTTTTCATAGGGATTTTATAGTACAATGCCTTTAATATTGTTATAGCATAATTCTGTTAACAAAATATCTGTGTAAAAAAATCTGTACCTTTTTCAATTCGTTTTGTTTCATTTTTTATAATCTATCTAATTGACTTTTTAAGCCTTGGCCATAATTCCTTTGTTTCCTTTTTATAATCCGGTTTCTGTACTTGTCACATTGATATTTAAATTAAAAGTTACACATTATTTCATTAAATTCTTTGTTTTGGTGCAATTTTGTTTTATCTCTATAATCCAAATATTTCATTATGCTTAAATGAGATAGGATAAAAAAATTCTGTTCAGTGATTTTAATAAGTGATTTTTCTGTTCAGCTTCTTTTTAAGGGTAAAGTAAGACTGATAATCTTTTCTAATTTAAGTTACTTTTTAATAGTCTATATTATTAAATAAGCTTGTTTTAATCATCAGTTAAAATTGATAAAGCATAGATAAAGACTAATCTTTTTTTAGTAACTTTAAATTTTTTTTTCATGTAGCTCATTCAATAAATTAAATGGTTTTTTCCCTTGTTTATTACAACTCAGACTGAATTATTGAAAGTTGTCTTGCAGTTTGATTTCTTAATTTGTCCATTAACCTACTTAGATACTAAATTAGATTTTATATTAACCTTGACTTGGTCCATTAACTGTGACTTCTTTTTTTTCAGTAAATTATGTGTGAAAATTAAGGGTTTGTAACACATTTTCTGACAAAGCTTTTTTTTTCTTCTTCAGCATTTCTATTAATCCAGGCAGGAGATTCTTTCCAATTTTAGAAAAAAATTTCCGAACTATTCTTAAAAGAGAAAAATCTCTATTGTTCAAGAATTTATTATTTATTCTCCTTTAGGCTGTTTTCCATTTAAAAAATATTAAAATTATTATTTTTTTTTTTGAAGTGCTACATCACTGCATAGTCTAAATAATGAAAATTAACCATTGTTCATCTCGGTGAAAAAGTTATTAGACTGGCAATGTATGCATAGTAATTAAAAGCTATAAATAAGTATGAAAATTTTAATATTTTGTTACTCTGCATAATAGTTTCACCTGTTTTTTTATATATTTTTTTTCTATTTGAGACTAGAATTATGTTCTTTTCTAACTCTCATGCCTAATTATTCAAGCTTCTTATATGTTTTTACTTTTAAAGTAAGAATTTTCCTTTTCATGTTTTCATTGAAAAGAAGATTATGCTTTGGTTTAAATACATATTGTGCACACCTCGTGCAGTATTCTAAAACATATTTTATCTCTTAATTGGCGTTGAATAGTTGATCCTTGATCCAATTCTGAATTGTCTATCAATCTTCAATTTCGTAAATTGTAATTTTGAACCCGAACCAGAAAACAAGAGAACTCCTGGATTGGAACAAACTGAATTGTCTAAGGTCTGCTTTCTAGCTTTGGTACTTAGGGGAAAAATAGGGTAATCTGAGAGAATATTAGAGAAAAGGGAAAGAATGCACTGTCTTTACTGCGAGTGGGATTTTTCGAATGTTGCTTTGATCGCCATTTTTGCTTGCCTCTGCTGTCTCGTTAAAATTGTTGTGTTATTATGTCCTATGATTTTTATAAACTGTTAGGCAACTGTTAGAGGAAAATTAAGTTTTCCTTTTGAGAAATAGCTTCCAAGTTGAAAAGAAAGAGCCTTGCCTTTATAATTATTATAACTTCTTGTTTTAATTTCAAAGGAAAATAGCTTCAAAGTTAATTAAAAAGCTTTTTTTTCTAAAATTTTACTTTTTTACTATTTTTTAATCGGAATAATACTTGATTTTATTTTCGCGGATGTTTAAATTTCAGGAAGGGCGAAACATATTGTTTAGCCCCTCATTAATATTTCAGAGGGGGCGACTGCCCACTCTGTCCCTGCTGGCAAGCTACTGATAAGGGTCTAGCATGTTGATTAATTCAGAGTCTCAAACAAAACTTAAATTTCTCATTTATAAATAAAGGTTAAAAATTAACATGTGGATGGAGATTTCAATGTGGGATAGTACCTATACCAACTAACATTATAATCCATTGGAAGTCTCCCACACACTATACTAACACCTGATTATAATATAAAGAGTTTACTTTCGTTTTATTTTCCTTTCGACTATTTAAAGAGTGGGTTGGTTCACGAGGGTCCCCACACGCAACACACGAGACGATTCAGTCAGAGTACGCATACAAGAATGTAGGGTCATGAGGATCCCCTCACACAACATCTAACCTATTGGTAAATGGAAGGACTATTGGTTTATGAAGGTACTCACACACATTATGACTGCTGGTTCTTAGAGAAAGCATACACAAGTCTGTTAATTCATAATGGTTCTTAAATACAACAGGCGTTCTGGTTCATGGACACATGTCTGTTATCGAAGGTACCTAAAATCAGTTTCTTGGCTCAGAAGGGCACCAAACCATTCACATTTTAAACGATTTACGCATCTCTGACCACCATCGAGAGAGAAGAACTAAATTGATGAGCATTTCGTTAGAGAATGTATTTCACCAACCAAGTTCTTATTCGACAGCAATCAGAGGTGCGAATCTAAAGCAGTTAAAACGACCCTTCATCCTATTTCATACGTGTATACTTCAATGAACTCATCGTAAAGACACGACCTTTTCAGTAGAATACCAAATTCAAGCACAACTGGCTACGCTCAGTTCGCGAATGGGTGACTACATTGACCAACACGCGTAGGAACCGAGGGTTCGCGGTCTTGGCTTATGTGAAACTGTTCTAGCGTAAAATGCTGGACTTCGCGCGCAAGTGGCCGCTAAATGGGGAGTCATTCTATTGCAGAGGGTCAAAATTGTGATGGCTTTTCTTCAATCATCCTCAGGATTGTTTTCCAGACCGTCGTCAATAGTCCATTGTGTAGCTCTAATGCGAGGTAAATAAAGTACCTACCTACCTCAATCAACAAAAATTAACTTACGAAAATTAGTGAAGAATAGCTTTAAAAAAATATGAAAAGAAAGCTTAAAGAAGTTAAAAAATTAATCATAAAAGATAATTATTTAAGAAACAATTGTACTGTGTTTTCTTTTTCTGGCAAATCAACTTTTTAATATAAAATAAAAAAAATTAATTTTCATTAATCAATTGCTTAAAATTTTTTCCCTAGTAATTATTTTTTTCCGTTCATTTTTCTATCACATGGAAAATTTTAAAATCAGCTCACATATTCTTTTCAAATAATGCAAATGGGCAGAAATGATCATCCTACTGTTGTTCCGTAATGATCGATGAGTAGGGAATTTTCAAAACAACTTTTAAGCAATGCACAAGCACATGTGCAAAACTGGGCTCCATAGTTAGAATGCAGTCTCTAGAAACTTGTCAACAAACTAACCTTTATTTGCATTAAATGGAGAGGAAAACCTTTAACCCAACAGAAGGGGGTCTTAACCCATAATCTGTCTCCCTCTGAGAGAATAATTTACTTGGGTTTGGAGCCAAGAGTAGGGTTGGTTTCAACCAGCCACTGATGGATTCAAAGCCACTGCTGGATTCGTTCACCTCCGTGAGATGTGAACGCTCTGTCTCCTGACCCAGCTTGGTGCTATGCAGCATGTTCTTAAAAATTTATCATATTTTATATGGCATATTCTTAGGTATGTCACTTGTGAGTATGGGTAGTCTGTCTACAGTAAGTCCTCCCGTCATAAAGTCTGAGGCCGCCTGCTGCTATAGAAACAAGAATAGCACATTTCAGGGAGGGTAGCTTCTCTTCACTCTAAAGCTAAAAAGATTCCCTTTCTCTCGTCAACCCAAAACCTGTCCTAAACAATGATCCCGCACACCTACTTGAAATAGTTTTTACTTGAATAGTCACCCCCACAGGTTCAGACGAATGGCTAGGGGAGTTCTTACTTTAGACCAGTTCTTACTAGGGGAGTTCTTTTGAAATGAAGCAAACTGTTTTATTTTTATTATAATTCAATCAATGCAACTGCAAAATTAAACTCACGTTCTTGTTTAGAAAATTTTATTAATAAAAACTCAATGGTTTCATGTAAATTCAAAAGTATTCATCTCAAATATGCTTTTTTTAACATTAGATTCTTTGTATTTCTATCATTTCTGTCATTATTAAAATTACGATAACTATAAAATTTTTCATTCAAAAATTCTTTGTGCAAAAAAGTTGTATACAATTCAAAAGAAATATGAATAAACACGTTTATTCTATTTTTGGAAATTTTGGTTTACACTTCTCTGGGAAATTTTTTTTCTTCGACATTTGTTATAAATTGCTCTTCATCTTCTTTAAGCTCGTGTAATTACAGAATGTTTCTCATCATTTCAAAAGAAGAAATGTGCTGACAGTAGTTATTGCTCCATTTTACTATTGTCAATATCACCAAATCACGAGGTTCTGCAACCATTTCTTGACCAACAACACCACAAGATATATTTTTTATCAATTAATGCAAAAACATCAAACAAAACATGTGAGGCTTTTTCTTTTAACTGTGACAAATCCTCATTCTCTACATCTTCAGTATCAGGATTTAGTGAATTTCTCTTTCAAAACAAAATAAGTTGCTTTTTTCTTAAAATTTGGTAGAATTTCTGTATGATAAATGTAAAAAATTCCTAGTTTTGTAAACAATCTTAAATCTCTCCAAGTTGGAGATGATAACTTGGATCAAGATTGTTTTTATTATTAAAAAAACAATTTAAATTAATGCAAATTTATTAAAATATTTTTAATAAAATAACTTACCTTTACTTTGATGGCTTATCTTTTGACACTGACTAACATCATGCACAACCACACCCAATCCTCACTTTTGCTATCTCCATTCATAACCGTCCACCCTACCCTTTTACTGAATCAAACTCACTAGTTCGCCACATTCTTATGTTTTTGAAATTAGATTTTGATTCATACATGATTCAATTGTCGCTCTCATACCTTTTGCATTCCATAAAGTTAAAAATTTACTCATCCATGTTCAACCAGTACCGCACAAAAAGGAATTAATAAAGTAATAATGGTAACTCAGTAAGAGATCAGTGGCATAAATGGCAAAAACATCAACCTTTTTACCTCTTTTCTAACGAAATCGGACCGCCGTGTAGGTATACATATAAATTAACTAATCAGGTTTAAGAATTTTCGAGAATTTTAGAATAATTTCGAAAATTTTAGGCAAAAAGTGGTATGTCAAAGGGTGGGTGTGTGGTTCTGAACATCCGGTGTTATCGGACATTTAAAATAGACGCTCTGTAAGGTTGCAATATATCTCCTCGAAATATCTTCTAGAATCCTAGTTTGGCTAGATTTCAAAAAATCGTCATGGGGTGGGCTATTTTAGGATCCACCCGAATATTACAATTATAAGAATGGTGTTTATGACGGAACTTAAAACAAAAATCTACTCATGGAAAAAAGGACTATACAGATGCACTTTGGACTATACAGATACACTTTGTAATAGCTTTAAATGTTACTATATCTAATAAGAATAAAATTTTCTAGGATTCAGTGTAACTGTAACCTATAGCGGCTGGACTTTTATTCTGCTGTGGTCACCATAAACGTAACAACGGATAGGCAGAGAGGATCGGGGAGTGCTTCTCGATGCTCCGGAGGAAGGTAAATTTGACTTTTCTGCTTTGTAAGAATTCCTTAAGAACTTGTTTGTAAAAAAGATTTAGTCAAGTCTAATTATTGCTCTGTTCAAAAATGTATTATTTCTCTTTTAAATAACAAATTACATCAAGAATTTCATATTATTAAATTTAAAGCATATATATATATATATATAAGTTTAGAGTTTTGCAGAATTATTTATTCAGTAGATGGAAACAGATAGTCTATAATAGAAATCGTAAAATAAAGATATTTTGGTCTAATTTTTTAAAATACTCATGACAAACAATTTTTTATAACTGACAAAATTTCTGCATTATTTGTCTAAAAGTATCACATTTATTTTGATATATTGGATTTATATTCGTTGATGTATTTTAACAAAAAGTGAAGTTTACAATGCAAATAAATAATGAAGTAATTAAATGTGTTTATACATATTACACATAATTTTTTTCCTATATAATTATTGTATTATAATTTAGCAAGTTTTTTTTTAATCATGTTGGTTCAATTATATTAAATGCCATATTACTAAAATATGGTATACTTCATATAATTTTATATAAGAAGTTGCAAATTTAAATTTATAAAACAATATAGTAGTAATTTCAAGGAAGAATTCAATTTAATATTTATAAAAAAAAATTGATTTGACGTGCGTTTTTCAAGTGGGAATCTGAAAAACATGCAGTTTTTTTAGGCTGTTCCCATCCTGGCAAATCTTACTTTTCATTGCTGTTTTCATTTATATTTGATTTTAAAATGAGTAAGAAGTATATATAATTATTATTGATACATAAATTTTGAAATAAGTGAATTTTTATTTTGATGTTTTAGGGACGAACCCCCTCGTCCAGACGCCGCTAGCGTAGGCTCTTCCGCCCCTCGCAGATGGGTACCTCCAAGCAGCATTAAACGAGATGCAACCTCCCTTGAAGAAAAAAATGACCAAGTGTTCCGACGAGTACGAGGGTGAGTTTCTCTTTTTAAAATTCTTTTCAATTTCTGTAGTTAAAAAAATCATGCAATGTTAATATTTTTTCATAGTTAATGTTATGAAATTGCATGAATATTTCTTTTTAGCTTAGTCAAAAGCTTTCTTTTCATTTTTTATACTACAACTGTGGATTAATCAAATACAATAGAAAATGGAGTTCCTTTATCACTTGGTTGTTGCTTAAGAATTATTTTATATATAAAATAGCAATTTGGTAAGATTATGACGTTGATGTTTGGGAAGATCAGTTTTGATGGTATTAAAATAGAGTACATTGGAAAAAAAGTATTCTATATTGTCAAAAAGTATAAGATATTTAGAAATAGTATTTTAAATTATGTAATTTTATTGACACCATTTTAATTAATTTAAGTGATAAATAAAAATTGATTTACGTTGTATGAAATTTAAAAGAAGTTGTTACTTATTAGAATTTTTTTTAAAAATGTATTTTTATGATGATATTTACTCAAGCTGATTTAAATGAAAATGAACTAACTCTGATTTATTTTTTTATCGACAACCATTGGTTTGTATAAGGAATTAATAAATATATTTTCCTTTCAGCATTCTTAACAAACTCACGCCTGAGAAGTTCCACAAGCTGAGCGAGGAACTCCTCAGCGTTGGACTTGATTCTACCCAAATTCTTAAAGGTGTCATATTACTGGTAGATATCTTCTTTCATCTCTTTGCATAAAAATTCGAATTCTACTTTTTCAATATTTCAACATTTTTTTCTCTTGTTCAGATCTTCGATAAAGCTCTAGATGAACCGAAGTACAGTTCTATGTATGCATTGCTATGCAGGAAATTGTGTGAAGAAGCTCCAAACTTTGATCTCCCTTCAAATAATACTGGTAGTCACAACAGCAATGTAAGTTTTTTCTATCATTGGAAAAACTGATGGAAATTTGTAAACTCTTTATAAAAATTTTTTTCATGTGTAAATAATTTTTCAGAGTGCATAGCTTAACCCCTTGCACTATTTTCCTGAGTCTGTCTCTCGCTGAAATTTTTAGGCAAATTTGAATATCATGAATCAGGCTCATTGTTTAATTTCATGTCAAACTGAATGTCATGACTCGTGATCGACATTTCGGACCAAACATGAATATCACGAGCTGTACTCATGGTCTTAATCTGGGGCTAAGCAAGAACGTTTGAATGGGCTCTTCTGTATATGAATCGGTATTTTATATCTTGTCTACTAATGTAGTTTGCATGCAATTTAGGATGCATTTGAAATCTAAGTAAACTTCTCCCAAACATTCGGGTGCCGAAGTTAGGCATGGCTTGTTCCAAATTTAAGCCTAGTGCAAGGGGTTCAAGGCACTGATTTTGATTTTCATGTTTTAAAATTCCTAACAGTGTGTTTTTTTCATTAGGTGTTTGTAAAAAATCTTTAGTTTTCATTTTCCTAAATCTTTAGTTTTTATTTTCCTATGTAGGAGGTGAGGAAGAGAATGATTGATGATATTTAGTGCAAGACTCTTACTTCTCTTAACAGTTTAGGGAACTAATGATTATTTCTAAAATGATGGTAAAATAAACATCTTTTAAAAAAGAAAGAAAAATCCTTAAGTCTCAATGAGGAAAAAATGTTTTTTTTTAAAAATGGCGGAAACATTTATCAAATTTCATTCCGGTTTTCTGATTTCTCGAATTTTCACTGAACCCTGGGACCAACTAAACATTGCCAAATTTTAATAGCAAACTTTTTTTATTTCTCTTGTTAATTTGATTGTTTGTGAAGCATCTTCATCAAAGATAAGCTAATGGCCTTCATTGCACTATTCTATTTATAGATCAGTACATAATCTTTGAATTTGACTTGATGACCATTCTCTAAGTACATATTTTCATGTGCTTAGTGCATATTTTCCTCATAAGTCCTCTGATCAGTCAAGAATCACAAAGCTTCATCACCTCAAATTTTCCATCTCCCTTTTATTCATTTAATTTATTAAAGGTTAGAATTAATTGAGATTTTTAAAAGTAAAATTCTTTACCTGAGGGACCACTTACTAATTGCATAATATTTAAAAAAATTTTATTGTAATTTATTACTTTTTACTATTAATTTTTTTCATTTTTTAAATTTTTTTTAAAATTTCGATTGCAAAAAAATTGTCTGAAAACACACATCCATCCAAGCACAGACATCCAAATATGGAAATTAGTACTGTATATAAACTTAATAATTTATAGTTTTAGATTCTATCTGTAATTTATTTTTCTTCTCTATATTGATGGTGAGAAACCTCTTTCAGACATTCCGTCGCCTTTTGTTAGCCAAGTGCCAGGACGAATTTGAAAACAGAAGAAAAGCAAGTGAAGGTGATATATATCTATAATTTATGTTATCATTTAGAATTAATCAAATTTTTCTGTTTGTATTTCATCAGCATTTTGTGTGGTGGAATTTCTTTTTTTTTTTTTAAAACATTTATGTTAAAATTAGTTCTTCAATTTATTCGAAGCTCAATTAGCTGTCGAAATTAGACTTCCACTCAGTGTAATCTCAAATAATTTTCGAATAACTGATTCAAACAATCATCTTATTATTCTGTTATTATCTCGGAAGAGGGCTTTTTTTTGAAAGGGGGGAAAAATCTCGATTTTTTCTACATATAAGGATTAACAGTTGCTAGGTTAGACACAGCGTTTGCTGGTTTAAACCAATTTTTTTTTTTTTAAATCTAAGCCTCGTCTTTCATTTGAAAAATCTTAAGTAATTAAATTTTNTTTTTTTTTTTTTTTTTTTTTTTTTTTTTTTTTTTTTTTTTTTTTTTTTTTTTTTTACAATTTTGAGTTATAATTGTAATCTGTATTTTATAGAAACATAAATCTGCAATTTTTAAATGATTACGCAGAATAAGGTTCCCATAAAAATATTTTATAATAAATTAATGTTAACAAATGTAGGATAAATTACTATGTCTCTTAATATTGCTTAAAATAAAATAAACAATATCCATCACTAATCCCATGTTCTGTTAGTTTTTAAAGTGAGCTAAGTAATGTAATTATTTGAGAGTTAGTTTTTTTAACTTTATTTTTACCTGCTTGCTACATATGTTTCCTATAGTCAAGAATATAAAAAATTATATCCTTCTTTATATTTTATTAGTTTAATATTGAAACCATTTTTGGTAAATTATTATTTTTAAAATTATTTTTTACCAGTGCGAATAAATTTGTATTTCATGTGTATTTTGATGATATTGTGGTTTTAAAAAATTCTGAAGTTTTTTTCTGTTTAAGATTTGAAATATATTTTTTAAAATTTCATTTGATATTGAAATAAGGCTTAAATTATTTTTATTTAACATTATTTTTATATTTGTTCTCTCTTTTGGAATTGAATATTTATAGCAAATATTTAGCAATATTTTATGGTAAAAAAATAATATTTAAAAAGAAAGCTCACAAAATGAAGAATAGATAATTTAAAGTTTTTGTGTTTAATTCTAAGAATTTTCTTGTACACAATACAATTCAACTTAATAAGCATATAATTATTATATTTTTATGTTTTATATGTAGTTACCTTAAAATTACTTTTGCTACATTAATGCAAAATGCTACTATTTTTATTTTGTGTTCAAAATGTTTTTTTAAAAATTTATTGTGATTTTTTTTCTATGTATTTATATTAATTTAATTATACATGGAATGATGTTTTATACTTTTGTTTCTTTGAAATTAAATTACCATGATCCCCAAAATTGACCTTTTAGAAATAGCGTATTTGAAATTTATCAGATAAAGAAATTTTAACTTTGCAAATATCCTTAAGATGCATTATTAAATATTTTTAAATCCATGTTCTAACTTATATGTTTGTTGCCATTAATTGCTGGGTTATTTTTTTCAATTAAGAAAATGGTTAGTATTTTTCTTATTTCAACAAAGCAAAATGTTTTTAGCCTTTGACAAGAAAGATGGAGCACTCAGTGCTGAAGAGGAGGAGCAAAGAGGAGTTGCTAAGCACAAGATGCTGGGCAACATCAAATTCATTGGTGAGCTGGGGAAGCAGGGCCTGTTGCACGAGGCCATCCTTCATCAGTGCGTGCAGCAGCTCTTGGCCAAGAAGAAAAGGCAGACATCCAAGGACGTGGCTGAAGACCTCGAGTGCCTCTGTCAGATAATGAAGACTGTCGGCCACAGGCTGGACACAGACAAAGCCAAAGTGAGCATTAAATTTTATTTATTTACCATGTTCTTACCTTTTATAACTTTAACGTGAACTGTTCGATTTTTGCAATTTTTTTAAAAATGGAATATTTTGGCTACTTTTTCCAGTTTTGAGCAATTTACGCTCAATTTTGCTAAAGTAGGTTTGTTTATTTTCTATTTGTTTTACAAGTGGTAATTTTTTCCCTTTAAGAAAAACTACTTTCAATATGTGAAAATTTCCGATTTTAATAATAAAAAGAAACCCATCTGGAATTCTTTTCTTAGTTTACATATAAATAATAATTCTTATTATCTTTTACAGGCACTGATGAATCAGTATTTTGAAAGAATGCAAGTATTTGCATCAAACTTTGAACTGCCTTCTCGTATACGCTTCATGTTGCAAGATGTATTAGAGCTGAGACAAAATAGGGTATGTTATACTGACTGCCATTTTACCTTTCACACAGACTTAAACATTTCTTTAAGTGGTAGTGGCAGATACTCTACCTAGAAACTGGGAAAACCTGAAATGTCCTGACATTTTTGATTGACAAATTTGGATTGAAGAAATAAACCATTTTCAGAATAAATGGATGCATATGCACAATTAAAATACATTATTTTTTAACACGAAAATCAGTGAAATGGTAAATTTTAGTGAGTTAGAATTTGTCTTAAAAGGGGATGTTCCTGTTGTGATCAAAGGCACAAACACACACGTTTTAGATGACCGCCTCTACTAATTGCAAAAGATCTGAGCATACCCTAACATACCGTCATATTTAATAAAATCATTGACCAATTATTGTACACCCAATGATATATGCATTACAAAAAAGGAGGTATATTTATGAATATGTTTAAAAAAAAAAGAGAAGAGTAAAATTGTGTGTATATTGTTTCAGTGGATACCTAGGAGAATTCTGTCTGAGCACGGTCCTAAGACCATCCAACAGGTGAGAGATGATGCAGCAAGGGACTTTGGGTCGTATCTTCCGAATCGCAACATGAACTCTCTTCCTCCTTCCACTGGCATGCTCAACATGAGCAAACTTCGCTCTGGAATGGATGATGTCTTCAGCCCCATTCCTATTGGTATCTATCTTTTTAATTATACAATGTAAACCTAAAATATCAACTCCTAATTTTTAAAAAATTTTAGTTTTTTTGGAATCCTAATGTTAACTTAATAACTATTTTGCGAGTGCATTCAATTATGTATTTTATGGAATTATACTTAATGTATATTTGGTAAAAACATTAAGACAAAGCTTTTATCAACGAAAGAAAAATATCCAGGTTTTTTAATCTTATGCTGCAACAAGTACTTCTTGCACATTTAGCAGGAAAAGACCATATTTTCCCCTCCAAAATTTTGTGCTAAATTGGCAAAAATGTTTATAGGAATTAAAACTTGATAAACTCCGTAACTTTTTGAACCGTGAGGTTTCACGATTTAAGAATCATACATTGTTTTCCATTCTATGCAGGAGTGATTGTAGTCCGGGGGTACCCCGAAATTCCAGGTTTTTTGTATAATTTTTTCCGGTTCAAAACTGGAAGCAGTGCTTGCAAGTTTTGCGCGAATATCATAGGATTTCGCATAACTCAAGACTATTGGTTTTGTGAAACAGAACTTTTAATCCGACGAAATTTTGAAGATTTTGCTAAATCCGGTTAACTAGACGTTTTCATACACTCTTCTGCCAATTTGATTGTTTCGGTTTGGCAAATTTTCGATATTTTTAATATTTGGTACAGCGGAATCTGCTAATATTGCGAATCTTATTCACGTGATTTTAATATCAAATATCAATTTTCATATTTACCTGATTTAAAAACTGCGTGTTGCTATTCGTTTTAACTAGATTAAAAAATCAAATATCATGATTTGTATTTATGCGTTTTTAAAACCCAATGTCTCGATTATTACTCACACGAGTTTAAAATCCAAGGCTGCGATTCTTATTCATTCACACGTTTTTAAAATCTGATTTTGCAACTTGTATTCTCACGTTTGTAATATCAAACATCGATATTTTATTTTTTATACGTGATTTAAAAACTATGCATTACAATTCGTTTTCAACCGATCTAGTGATACGCATTTAAACGATTAAAAAATAAAATATCTCCAGTTGTATTTTTGCCTTTTTAAATTCCAATATCGCGATTCTTGTTAGAAGTTGCTTCTTGAATTAGTTACTCTAATGGTGTGATATTTTGCATTAGAAGGTAATTTAATTATAAATGTTAATTCAAAAAATTATGTAAAGCATGAAAGATATATGATAAATAGTTTAATATCTATTTTTTGCACATAAAATTTTCAGGGTTTTTCACTTTGTGCTACGATCACCCCTGTCTATAGTTTTTAAAATCATATTTACAAAATCAAGCCTATATGTATTTAATGAAGCAAGGTGGTATGGGTTCTTATGATTAAAAAATGAGACATTGTTAATCACATTCACACAATTTTAAGATCAAACAAACATATTTCAAGTAACGCGTCACTTCATATTTACTCAATTCCTAGTCATAGGGTTTGAAAGATGCACAATCCGGTTCGTATGCATGCAATTTTAAAATTATGTATTGTAATTCGTATTTATGTGTTTTAAAACTGCACAATGTTAAATTTTTAGTAGTAATTGCTATTATTAAATGCATTTTTATTTAAATAGGTTAAAAACATTTAATTTTTATTTATAAGTTTAGTCTTATTTTCTATATAATTATTTCGCTTTTGTTTAAAAAGTGGTTCTTTTAATTTTTATATATGCCGCTCTTACCGTAGTTGAAATGTTGTGGGAAAAAGTTTCTTCCAAAGTGAATAAAAGCACCCTAGAGGGATTAGATTTCTTCCAACCCAAATCAAAGAAATGGCTAAAATTTTTTATTAACAAGTATTGAATTAAAATTGCTAACACCTTATAGTTACAATCTAGTTTAAATACTAGTATTATTTCCAAGTCATTTAATGAATCATTTTTAAATGAGTGGGAATAAAAAAGCAAAAATTGGGGAAGAAATAAATGTAATGAGTTTCTTGAAACCAGCTGTAGGTACTTTCATTTTTTAAACAGAAATCTGAGAACTTAAATTTTTTATAATTATATATAAAGAAACTTAATTTTATAATTTAAAATATTATAAGATTATACAGATTTTTATAACAAAATGCTGTTAGAATGAGTACTGAAAACATATCTTACATAATACGCTAAAGGCAATAAATATTTTGAATTCATATTATATTCTTTATGTACCTAATCATAAAATTATAAGTTAATCATAATTTGTAAAGTAAACTTCATAATTTTTAACTATAAATTTTTATTCCCAAATTACTTAATTTTCAAATCAATGATTAATTTTATGAAATTTTAAAAAATATTGATGAAGTTGTAAAAAATTTTATACTTAATTATTTGAGCTGAAAATCACGACAAAACGCATTAATGTATTAAGATAAAAATATATAAGATTTTAAAAAAACATCAGTTTTTTTTTTCTCTCTAATATTACTTAATGTGATAATTACTTTATATGAATGTAGTTCTATGTATAACTATTAATATTTCTCTAATGTTCTTAATGTTAATTTGCATGTATATATATACATGACTGCCAACTAAGACTGGGCTATAAATCAATATATCGCGACATATCGATTTAATGCCTGTATCGGCAGGCCGATACAGCGACTTTCGTTCCAGGCGATGCATCAAAAATCTGATTTAAGTCATCATGTAAAGAAGACGAAAAATATAGCGATGCAAGACACGCAAGGATCTCTTACTATCCAATGCCAACTCGCGCTGGTGAAGACGATGTTGGTATCGTTATATTGAAACAGCCTTGATTGATGAGCGGTAGAATCAGAATCAGTTTTGAGAACATATATCGTGATCTCGCATGTTCGTTTTCGCACCTCTTAGTTTATTTTTCTTCTTTGGCGCGATTTGATATCGTTTCTTGTAGATTATTTTCAGTGGGACTGACTTTGTGATCGCCGTCATTAACTTGTTCTGAACGTAATCTATTATTTAAAAGAATATATAAATAAGTGTTTCTTAATTAATTAGGTATATATATTTTTTAAACGAAACTTTCTTTTTTATTTTTAAATGTGAAAATTAATTTTGATATATGTTTAAATATTATTTTATATTATTGAATTTATTACAAACGGAAATCTAATTTAAGGTGCCCGTATTGAATTAAATTAAAGAGTAATTAAATTTGTTAGGCTATTTTTTACTTTGTTTTAATCTTTTAAAAACTTTTTGGATAAAATAATAATCTAATGGGTTTTTATTACTGATTTTAAATTTATAAATCTTTAGTTTTCATTTTTATCAATAAAATTATAACAAAACTTATTTTTCCTCTTTTGGATTTGGACATAAGTCAATCAACTTTGTTTATTCAAAAAAATTAGCAATGTTTGCTTCGTTTTATTAAAGAGTATAATCGTGTTTTTTAATTTTCTTTCAATATTGTCAGTTGAATATATTATCGAATATCATAATTGTTTTTATTTTTAAGAAATTAAACCTTACTTTGTCTTTTCGTTCAGAATTTGGTAATTATTCAATTTAACTTTATTATTTATGTGAAATAATAATGATAAAAAATAGTGTTGTTTTAAAGTGTTTTTTTTATTTATTTACCACTTCGTTTTAAGCATACAAATAATTTTTAACGAACTTATTTTTTAAATTTTCTTTCTATATTGTTAGGTAAATATATTGATAAATTTCAATTTTATTAATTTTTTTATTATTTATTTTTAAACTAAGAAATCTTTCGTTATTTGCGCGATCATTTTTAGAAAATATAACATTAATATCTTTCTNAAACTTAAATAAGTACATCAAATTCATAAATTGATTTAAATCAATCTGAGTATGAAGTTTTGATAGAAATCCGACTTTCTGCGCCTTACAAGTAAATGAATTTAAAAAATACTATATCGCAATACATCGCTATATCGCGATGCTAAACTGACGATCCATCACGATATAAGAATTCTTCTTTCGCCCAGTCCTACTGCCAACCCTTTCGCATTTTGCAGAAGCTTTCCGCATTTTTACTTATTTTAGCTATTTTGTCTGCTTTTACGCGCAGAAGATAAGATCTTCCGCATCTTTTTCTTTCAATCAGAGTCCTCCTTAGAAAGCCCGCTTGCGGTGATGCTGCCTTTTCTTCCATTTATGTCACATAGTTCAGTGTGACGTAATGGAATTCTCCTCTCTTCTACCAATGAGAGAAAAAATTAGCTTATGTTGCGAGAACGCTTCCCTTTATCACATGACTTCCTGTTTGCCGGCGCGAAAGCAAACGTTATAAGACAATGGCGTGTGTAAAAGCAAAACAGCAATTGGTTTATGGCAATATTTATTTGCTCATTAGATTAATCTTGTTAATTTATTATGACTGAGCGAAAACAATACAAACAAGCCTTTAAGGAGTCCTATTTTCTTGAATTTCCATTTATTTCTAGATCGAATCTTGGACTACATGATGTACGTTGCAATGCATGTAAAAATGACTAGCATAGTGCATGGTGGTAAAACTGATATAGTCAGACACGTAAAATCGATAAAACACTAGAAGAATAAATTTTTTTAAATATAATTCTTTTTTCATAATTTCTATTAAGTTTATATATAGTGCATGCTAATATATTATAACTTAACTATCATATAACTTATATCTCATATAATTAACTTATCATATAAGTCTTAAAATATGGCATATTTCCCTTAAATCAAAAATATTGAACCATCAAGTAGCTAGTCATTAGTTTTTTTAAAAGGTTATTTCCTTTTCTTGTTTTAAAAAAAGTTGAGTATTGCTTTTTTATGCTGATATAGTGGATTTATAAATAATTAATTAAAACCCGTTTCTTTTATAAATATATTAGTAATTAGTATGCTGTTGTGAATTCTTCTGCATTTTTTTGTCTCGTCTTCTGCATTTTTATAACTAGAGGTTGGCAGCTATGTATATATATAATAAAAATATTAAATAGTTTACTGTTTTCGTATATTTAATAAAATTATTCTATTATCAAAAATATTATGAGCTTGCAAATACTTTTGGATTGTGTGCATAGATACTTTGTTTTTGTCTTGCCTTGTTCTTGACCTCTTAATTGTGTAATAGAATTGTTGTATGTTATTTTCAGGTGTTGGATCTCTAGGTACTGGACCTGGTGTAATTTCTACTGATACTTTCCCCAACTATTCTAGTAACATGGGTCGTCCTTCCCGTGGCGGAATGGGAGGATCCGGTATGATCTCCTTTTTCATTTGAGTCAATAGATAAATCTGCATTTGGTCTATTTTTTGTGAACAGGATGTTACATAAAGTTCTCCCTTAAAAAGTTCTTCTTTTAAAGTTCTTCTTTAAAATAAGAATATTTTAGGATTATTAAAAATGTAAAGTAAAAAAATTACCTGCATAGTTTTTGATGTCACTCATTCTACAAAAATTTAAAATGTTTAAAGAGGCTATTACAGGTTTTCCACAGCCCTTAAAAACTGCTTAATTTTTATTTTGGAAAACAAGGGCCCTTAAAAGTACTTCATTTTGGTACGAGGTTTCCAAAAGTCCTTAATTTTTTAGCATTACTATAGTTGATAGGAACAATTTTTCAGTTCAATTTTTTAAAACAAAATGTTCTTTTATCACTTAGAATTAGACCATGCATTGTGGGCAAAGCATTTTTGAGAGACAAAAATTGATGTGTGTGGGGAGATGGGGAAGAAAGCATGTCCTTTCATTAATTTATTGGTTCTTTCAGTGTATATTTTCCTTTTACCTAGAATGATATTCTATGAGGAGAGTAAAGCATTCTAAAAGAAAAGAATAGTGAATATTGTGAACAAGGGGATACTGCACAAGAGATTGCTTTTTTTGAGAAGGTACCTAAGTAGAAGACCCACACTGACACACTAATAAAAAAAAAACTTTGAACTAGAATCCATAACTAAAACCATTTCCTAAAATCTTGAAGAATTAAATAAATTTGTGTAATATTTCAATGAATAATAAGTAACTAAATTTATAGAAAGCATAAAATTTTTCAATATTCATTGCCCACTTAGCTTTTTCATCAAAAACCTGGGGTTTACTGGGTTTTTGATGAAAACCTATCTTTTTTGTCTTCAAAAATACTTTAATTTTTTTTTTCCTGAGTACTAAATAAGAAAGCATGATTTGCTTCCAACAAGAAAGTTAAATATTTATTAACGATTTATAATTTGTTTTGTTGCAGTGTAATTTTTTTTTTAAAGTCTTAGATTGTTACGCTATTATTTTTATTTCTTAAGGATCAACAGGTTACAAAAAAATTTAAATCTATGCAACTAATAGATCCTTAGATTTTAATAAACATTTTACTCAGTTAATATGCTGTTTTTAATTTTTGTTCAATTTTTTGGTTTCTTTAAAATTAGTTCATGTTTTTCACCAGAATGTTAAAAAACATTATGTAAAGTTAATTCCTAGTAACTGGTTCAAAACTTCAACCATAGCTTAAAAAATATTGCTAGTAAAATCTCCAATGTTGGCAGGTATGTGTGACTTCTTCATTGTGTTTTTGGTTAGAGATTGTTGTAAATCTATTTTAAGATTATATGATTAATATTGGTACAAAAGAATCTTAAGTAATTGGTACTGGTTATTCATGATGTTCCATAAAGTGTCCAGATTTTTTTCTTTGAGCATACTATGAGGCCTAATGTAAGAAATTAAAAACATGTACTTGCAAAAAATATAGTTTTTATGAAATTTATTTGACAGGAGGATTTCTGACTGGAGGTTCATCTCAGCCGTTCTTTAACAGTAATCGTAACAAACAGTTTCCTAATCGTGACCATGACCTCTTCCCAGCTTATCAACAGCAGGCAAGACAACAAAATCAGAACAACCAAGTAGGATTTACTGGAACCTCATCCAACCGAGACTTGCCTCCTCGCTTCCTGAAAAAGACACTTCAACCTCACAACGCAGACGAGGTAACAACATGTTTTTACTACATTATTTAAATGAATTCAAAGTGCATTCATACTCAAAATTAAATTCCAAAATTAATACCAGTGTTTCCGCTACAGGACCTTAGAACCCTGGAGGGCCAAGAACTATCAAGGCTTTTAATTAAGACCCTTCATTAGTGTGCTATGCCAGTGGCCCTTCACTGAAAAAGATTTGTGCACCTTTATTAAATATTAGTTTATTTAGTAAATCTAAATAATGATTATGATCCCTTTTTAGTTCTCATTTCTCTAATGTATTGATGAACTTCAATACTGCTATAGGTAAATAATTAAAAAAAGTTGTTGAATTCCATTGAACTTGTTGCTAAACAGTGTTTATGTTAACTGCTCTTCCAAAATTTAAATGTCTGAATAAATTGTGGTATTGCAGATAAGTTTGCGTCCTGCCCAGAATTCTATGATGGTGAAAAGCAAGCAAACTGCTCAGTTCACCAAAGCCAACTCCAATTCCAACAGTGTGATGACCAACTCTATTCTGAGGGACAACTCACCAATCATTCCAACAAATGCTCCGTCAAACCCTGTTCTCAAAGAAGTATGTAATCTATATGTAGTGTCTTAAGTTTTGAAAAATTAAAAAAATCTCAAAAATGTTTTAAATAGCACATTGGAATTATCACTCTTTGATACTCTATTTGCACAGATTCTATTTTGAGTCTCTGTTTCTCAATTTCTTTCGCTACTGTTACATTTCTGGAATTTTGCTATGGTTTTTTTAAAAGAAAAAGACCAATATTTTTAATACCATACTACAATAGGTGCATGTTCTAAGAATAACCCCTAAAATCAAAATACTGCAAAAATTCATAGATCAATATAACATAATTAAAATACTATGATGCTATGATAATTAATTGCAGAAAAAAATATCACCAAAGGATGTCAATGATAATGGAATTGCCGCAAATTGAAAACCTTTAAAAATTGATAACTCGAAATTTGAACACCCTATTAAATCTTATAAAAATATCAGAAAATATAAAAACCATGTGCAAATGGGCGAAAAAAAGGATAAATAACTACCAAAAAGAGGGTTGTCTAGAGTGCCGATACATACATTACCTAGTATGATAGAACTTTCCAAACTGACATCCGAATACTTTGAATTGCAATGAATCAGACTTCGTAATAACATTGTGTTCTGAATATCAGAATTTGAAAAGGGCCAATAAATCAATGTTTTAACTGACGAAAAACTGTCTTAACACCACGAAATTGGGTTTGGGCATCACAAATCAAGAACAACAAAAAGTGATAACGCTAATATGAAATTCGCACATCGTAACAGCATCGTTAAAGAAATATCTGAAAATATTCTCAGACATGAAATTACGATAGAAACATTATTATCAGACATGAAATTACTATGGATTCATCAACAGTTCTAGTGTCAAACAGTTATAACTCTTATTCGGATTTCAAATGCCAAATTAAAAAAATTATGTGAAAAGGGCTGATAAAATGATAAATGACTGACCGAAAAATCATCACCAAGTGCCATCAAATTGCAAATAGAATGATCGTGAAACGAACATGTTGCAGAATTGATAACTCAAGTTTAAAATAATGACTTATTAAATATATCAGAATTTGAAAAACCAAATTAAAGCAGTTGAAAAAAAATGATTAATTATGGTTGAAAAACAATATATTGCTGCTGTAAAAATTATCTGAAAAACCACATGAATTCAAAATGGTGTGAGTTGCACTGTTTTTTTACTCTTGCCTTTTAAATACACCAAGATAGGTAATCAAGTTCAGAGGGCATGCAGGGCAAAATTTTTAATTCAAAGGGCAAGCTTGACGGCCCGTCCCGCAAACACTGCCTAAAGCCCTGATTTTATATCACACATTTAAATAATTATTTTTTGATAAGTTTGTACTTTAATCGTAAATGTATGTTAATTCCGCAATAATTGTATGCTCGATCTTCACTTTAAGATAGAATTTATTTGTGCCCATTTCATCATAAATCCAAGTTACCTTTCCATCGTTTTTACGACTGTCACCATCCATTTCTATGCGGTATTTAGAATCACGATATTTTAATGCAATGTTTTTGTAACAAAAGAAATTCCAAAAAAGGGGGGAGGGAATTTTTAAACTGTTCACTGATTACAATTTGTTTTAAATTTTTTGTAGCTTAGGTGATTTTTTTTTTAAAGAAAAAACAAAAAAGAGAATGTGTGATGTCTGGTGGTGCCCCCTCAAGAAAAATAAAAAACAAAACAAAATGACACAGAGGAGGGAATGCACTGATTGAGAGCGGAAGTGAAAAAAAAAGGATGTATGCTAGTAGTTTTGTTTAGGTGGCTTGGTTATATTAATTTTCTTCAAACTTCATCTTTTACTGTTGTTAATAAATGTTTTTTTGTGTTATAAACTGATTACCATTTTTTTGGCCAATTGTGTTTTTAGGAAGCATCTGAGTGAAGAGAGAAGGGAAAAGGAGGTAAAAATATATGTAATATCACAGAATGTTTCCTATTTAAAATTCTTAAAACCTTTAATAATTGAAGAAATGGAAGGAGTACCAAAATGTAACACAAAATTAACATTCAATCTTATTTTGTACTATGATGGTTTTGTTTTAAGTTTTTGCAAGAACCCTTTAAATTTTCTTTAATTAAAGTATTTTATTTCAATTTTTTATTACTCATTAAAATATATATTTATGTTTTCATTCTGTAACTTATAGTTTACTTACTTACTTATCCTCTACGTGCCTTTGGGCACTTAAGGCCTCTAGCATATTCTTCCAACGCATACTGTCTCTAGCAATAGATCTTGCTTCCCAGCCAGATGTTCCACATTCTTTTAATTCGCCCCAAAACATGCGCTGGATGATAAGTCTGGGTCTTCCTCTTGTTCTTTTACCGTCAGGGGCCCATGTAAGCGCAACAGATGTAATTTTTTCTCTGGGCATTCTAAGGATATGTCCGAACCAGCTCCATCTTCGTTTTTTAATTTCATCTTCTATTGTTTTTATTTTAGCTTTCTTTAATAGATTTTGACTTGAAACTTTGTAAGGCCAGAAAATTTTAAAAATAAATCTTAAACATTTGTTTTGAAAGGTTTCTAATTTTTGTATTTCGATCTTAGTCTGTTTCCAGGTTTCTGCGCCATATAATAGTACTGCTCTAACAATAGCTTTGTAAACAACTATTTTTGTCTTTATTTCAATATTTGACTCTCTCCAAAATTTATGTAATCCCTTAAAACATGTTCTTGCTTTGATTATTCTCTGTCTAATATCTTCACTACTTCCACCTTTTTTATCTACAATAGAACCTAAATAGCTAAATGACTCTATGTCATCTATTTCGTGATTTTCGATTTTAATTTTGTCATTTTTCTTTTGATTTATTCTCATTACTTTAGTTTTCTTCTTGTTCATGAATAAACCTACACTATTTGAATATTTGTTGAATTTGTCTGTTTTAAGTTGAAGGTCTGTACATTTGGATGAAATAAGTACGATGTCATCAGCAAAATCAAGGTCTTCTAAAGTAGTTGTGAAATTCCACCTTATTCCTCTTTTTTCATCTTTCAAGCTGTTTCGCATAATCCAGTCTATCACCAGTATAAATAAAAATCCCGATAAAACACATCCCTGTCTCACGCCAGTTTTTACTAAAAAGAATTCAGTTAATTCTCCATTTACTTCTATACATGCTTTGCTGTTATCATACATATCTTTGATTATGTTAATATATTTCTCTGGTATATTATAAAGTGATAAAATTTCCCATAATTTTTCTCTCTTAACTGAATCAAAGGCTTTACTGAAATCAATAAAGTTTAAATATAAAGAGGTGTTAAATTCTAAGCTTTGCTCAATGATATTTCTAAGTGTGAAGATTTGCTGCATACTCCTCCTCCTCCTCACTATTACAGTTTATTTTAAAATAAAAAAAATTTTGTAGTGAATTTTCTGCAATTTTAAAAATGGGGGGTTGACAGGTATGCGCATGAAATGATTAGTCATATTTGGCCAAGAAAATTTATATTGAGATATAAGTTGTCTGAGTTTATGTGTATATGTATTAAAATTTGTTAATTACTATTAAAAATTATTTTATTACTAATGAAAATATGCATCTAGTTTGTATTAAATTTTTTTTTGATTACTATTAAAAATTATTATTTTTTATTATTTTTAAAAATATACTAGAAAATTTTTTGAAATTTAACTGTTGAAATCTAAAGAAATTTGGATTTGCCTCAAGAGTGGACAACCTGTTCTGATTTTTGTTTCTTTTCTCCTCAGCCACCATTAATTGTAAAACAAGTGACTCAAGACAAAAATAAAGCAAATAAGCATATTCCATCAAAAGAAGAAGTTATGAAAAAAAGTGTAAGTTTTTATTGAGTCTCTTTCTACTTTACCTTTTTATTACTATGCATTTTCTGTATATTATGACATTCATTTTAAAACTGTAAAATACCTTCATTTTATCTCATGTTGACTGTTGCAAAATGTAGCAATATTGTACAGTGACACATCTTTTGAGTAGTAAACCATTTTTTAGCAGAGGTATATGTCATACACCAATAACATTTATATTGCTGTTTCTAATGCAACTTGCCATACTAGCAAGCCTGCTTGGTGAAACCGAGCAAATTTAAAGCACAGTGTGCTTTTCTTGTTTTTCAGTGGCGCCATCTATGGCCAAGAATTCGACTTCTGGTACACCATACGTCTCACCCGTTTGTAGGGCGGACCCATTCATACATCCATTCATTCATCCACAGATCGTAATTTTGACCTGATTCAGAGAACGATCGATCTCCAATCCAGTACCCTCAGAGGTGTTGATTTTTTATGGGAACCTGGAGGACTTATGTGACACATCAGTCACTTTACTTTCGGCCGCCGGGGTTTGAACCCACGAACTATTGGTATATATATATATACAAATACATATCACCCACAGCTGTGAAATAGTAATTAATTGGCTGGGATGGCCTGGTTGGCAGAGTGCCGGACTCTCGTTTTTTGAGAACATTAATTGGAATCCAGCTGGCCGAAGACTCGCGTAGTAAATGGTGACTGGTGCACGTTAAATCTGTTGGGTCGCAAAGACCTTCACGTTCCCATGACAAATAGATACTAGGCGTACTAGATTGGAGATTAATCATTCTCTGATTCAGCTTAAAATTACAATCTGTGGATGAATGAATGGGTCCGCCCTATAAACGGGTGTGGAAGTGGGTGTTCCAGAAGTAGACTTCTATGCCATAGATGATACCACTAGAAGACAACAATTGCACCCCATCTGCCTCAATGGCCGACAACAACAACAATTTATTAAATCCTTTTAAGTAACGAAAGAAAAAAAAAGACATCAGCAAATATTGAATCACAATTCGGGATCGTTATTGGTTGATGGGCAGAAAGTCTCACCGAAATAAAAACTCACACATATTTATTGACGCACATCTACACTTATTTATAGTTCTTCAACTAATAAGGACACCAATTTGTAAGAAACTAAAGTTTATAAAAAATATGTCCATTCTTTCACTTATACGGTGCTATTATAAACTTAATCAATAAAACTTCTTTACTTAAAGATTTCGCGAGAAAGTCTGCTAAGTTGTCTTTACTAATATGTTTTAATTTGAATTAAATCACTTGTAACATAATTTTAATAAACTGATATTTTACATCAATGTGTTTTGTTTTTATATTTTCGATTGAATTTTTAGAGAAATAATAGAATACATCTTTGTTGTTACAAAATTGGATTGTCACTTTATTTCCTATTACTCCCAATTCATTCAGCACTCTTGAAAACCAAATAGTTTCTTTAATGGAGTCTATCAAGGATATAAATTCAGATTCCATGGAATTAAGTGCAACACACTTTTGTTTACTAGATTTCCAGGTGAATGGTATACCAACAAAATAAATATGTCCGCTTCAGGAATATCTGTTAGTTATCTGTCAGTTAGCATCAGAAGAAGCCATGCGTTACTATTATTTGCATTTGTCGAAATAATACACTCAATTTAATGAATAAGTTACTACAATCCAGTGTTGAAAAGAATGGCCATTGTTTTTTCCAAACATTTCTATGACTCCGCTTTTTGTTACACCAAAATTAGCATTTATTGTTTCTACGACCTTTCGTTCTTCAGGAATTTAGGATCCGAAACCTTTCCTTTTTGTTGCCTAGCCAACTAGAATTACAAGTTTCGAAGTATTATTAAATTTGTTTTACTTTGGGTACGTGTACAAATCCTAGTAAACCAAATACTTAGAAGTGTCGAACTGATGGTTTGTGACCATACCAGATTTCAAAAGGTGTTTAATCCTTCCCTCAGTTTAGCGCTTCGAGTTCGAGCACATATATAATTTTACAAAGTGCTAGGTGTAAAACCTTCGAATTTAGACCAGAAATAACTCTATAATATTTTGTTCCGTCGCACAATATTCCAGCAAAATAAAATTGAGTCTCAATATTTGCAAACGAAGGCTCGGGTGCTTCTCCCAAAATTGCGGTAATTTAACACTAGCTGCATGCACTTTGGCAGAGCGATCATTTACATCTGTTCCAACATTTGTGTCGTAGGATAAATCATTTAGCAGCATGTTTATCATTGCAGCATGTTTATCATTTAGCAGCATGTTAAAATGAATAAATATACTAACAATTAAAGAAGTCTATAAAACTGCACTTTCCAGATCATTAAAGGTAGAAAAAAAAAGTTCCCATTAACTTTGCATAATGGTATCCCAAGTGATGAAACACATGTTTATCATCATTTAGCAGCATGTTAAAATGAATAAATATACTAACAATTAAAGAAGTCTATAAAACTGCACTTTCCAGATCATTAAAGGTAGAAAAAAAAAAGTTCCCATTGACTTTGCATAATGGTATCCCAAGTGATGAAACGCTAAATTGGCCTAGCGCCTTGTTACGTGCTTTGTAGAGGATGTGTTATTCAAATTTCTCTGGTCGCCATTGTAAATGTATTGGATGTTATCACTGTTAAATGATAGTGGCAGTTAACTTCTAATTTACTTAAATAAGTGCAATTAACTTCCTCTGTTAACTTAATGTAATTAACTTCTAGGTTACTATTTTATATACAAAGCATGAATTTGACAAAATTTGTAGTTCCTGTTGCGAGCAGTGTCTCTGGCACACACAGCGCCATCTATTGTTGACTTCTCTGCATCATCTGTAGGGGTCTGCTACAACTTTATCCCCCAGATTCTGTCTTTTAATCCACTACCATGAAGTGATGCTCAAACTGCTTCAGCTGCATCACGATTAAATTTTTCGGCAACACTGTTCTGATAGAGAATATGTTAACGTTTATTCTATTCAAATTCCAAGATTATTTAAATATTCATAATTCCTTATGACAAAACTCTAATCTGTTGTCTGTTCTAATTGACTTTAGTTTGCAGTTTCATTCTCTCTCAGCCCGAACAAGAAATGTTTTAAAACTTCTGTTTTTTTCTTTATCGTAAAAACTTACTTTTCCGGAAAAGTCTAACTGTGGATTTAAAAAAATATATATTTTCTTCTTCCCATTGAAAATGTTGGAGAAGATCCCCACAAATCCATATTCACTTTAACTAACACTTTGTTAACCAGCAATAAATGCTCTAGATTTTGTATTTTCAAAAAAAATTTTTTGTGTTAAAAATATAAAGATAGTCAGCCTGAATCACGTGTTGTTCAAATTTTTTCGATACGATGATTTTTTATGATTTTATAGCTATTTTTCTGAAAAGTGGGCGTGGCACTTTTGACGTTCCATAAGCTGTCTGTTTGTTTACATTGTAGTTATCAAGCTTATTTTGATTTTTTTTATGTTCAAATCAATATTTCTATAAAATATTTTTTAATTAGTATAGCATATAAATTAATTAATTAATATAGCATTAATAAATTAATTAATTAATATAGCATTAGTATATAAATTTTCTAGCATGTTATCGAAATTCTGCAATATGCTTTTCCTATGTCAATGTCAATAATTTTTTTATTTATCTGGTATCAAATATATTATTTGTTTTATTAAAATTATAGAGAATAATGTTTTTAGTGTAATTTTTATGCACACAAAAATAATCTTTTTTCTTTGTTTCAAGGTTACATATGACATATTGATATGATGCATAACGAACAATATTTTTATGTAAAAATCGTTTGTATTGGTAAAAATTTAGCATTTATTATATTAAGAATACATCGGAAGTTCTTTTTATATTTTAAGCATGATATTATAGCTATTACAGTGAGTTTTAGTTAATTTACACAAAAAAAGTAGTTTTTCTCCGTTAACTTTTTTTGCATAATTTACTTCTATAATTTGTCCCTTGTGTCTGAATATTTGAAAATTTTGCCTGAAAATTTTTCATATGCTTCATATGACTGTTATAAAGACAATGTAGCATTGTTTTCACGAAATATTAATTATAAAGTTTTTTATACAACTTTAACTGTAGGAGGAAATGAAAATTTTCGAAAAAAAAGCGTCGGAACTAAAAAAATTTTTTTTTCTCAAAACCTGTTGAAGTGAAACAATAACTGATGCTAGAGAGTCTTTATATCATCATTATCTATCTATAGAAAAAATTTTAAATTATTTGGATGAAATTTCAGACACAAGGGACAATTTTTGTATTTTTTAAAATTTTCATATTTTATTAAATTTTTAAAAAAATTTTGACCAAAATTGTTTTTACTTGGCCTATTTCCTAAAATATGCTAAAAAATAAATAAATTATGTTCATAAAAGTAAAATTAAATTAAAAAACAAGTTTTTATAACTTTTCATTTGAAAGGTCCCGTGTCCCCTTAACCAGCTATACAAGTTTTGAATTTTCCCATCAAATTCACCATCACTGACCACAATGCGGTAGACAGATCATGGGTTAGAGTCCCCTTGTTGCCAGACTAACTGTGGGTAGTTTTCATGGTTTTCCTCTTCATGTAACACAAATGCCGGTTGGTTCCATAAAAAGTCCTCTATGAAGGCCAGGAATTTCTCTAAATACTTGATCCAGGAGTTCCCTTATCTTCTGGATTGGGTTAAAAAATATAGGTTTCTGGAATTGAGTCTTAACCCCCATTGTATTCTTAAACCCCTAAAAATGGGTCATATGTTCAAAGAGGTTTATAAAAAAAAATACTTTTAACCCCGTGGCAGAATTGCGCCGACATTGTCGCAGAATATTACATAGTTTTAGCAGAAAGATTTTTCATTTAGGGACAAAAATTTTGGTTTTCCTTTGTGTGTAATTTTTCAAAATTTTTTTTTTGCAGAATTCTTTTCTAAAGATGTCTTTTTTGTGCATCAGAGAGGAAGGAAATAAGCATGATTTTTCTATTCTCATTTGAGATTTTTTTTTTCTAAAAAAAAAAAAATCCTTAAGAATTAGCTTCAGCTGGAATTTCAAAATATGATATAAGCCTAAATGTGATTCTTTTGCGGATTTCCGCTTTTTTTCTTCAGATTTTTCCATTTTTCTGGCTAATTTCTATATAAAAATTTTTCCCCACAAAATAAAATATTTTATGAGGAATTTAATTTTCCTCGGAGCAAAAGTATTGAAGTCTTCATTCCTCCCTCTGAAGTTTTTCTAAAAATCATTTCCTTGGGATAAAACTGGTTGACTTTTATACAGGGATGAGATGTTTTCGCTTTTGTCTCTCAAATTTCAGCCTTTTTATTAAAAACTTCAGTTCTCTAAAAGTTTCGTTTATTTTTATTTATTTTTTATATTTAACTGATTTAAAAGTTGAACGTTGCGATTCTTATTCAGGCAGTCTAAATATCGTACATTGCGATTCTTATTTATGACATTTAAAAATCCAATGTCTCGATTTGTATTTACGTGCTTTTAAAACCCTATATATATATTTTTTTGTTGATTTGTATTCAAGCGAGCTTAAAATCCAATGTCAAAAGCATTCGCAACTAAAGAGTCCGAATTATTTAATGACACATATGAATTCGTACGCATTAGATTGTAAAGTTAATGCAGTATATGGAGAATTGCAGGTTATAGAATTCATTACATGGAACTTTTTCTCCAGTGCATTTTAATTATGAGAAATGCCATACTTAATATGAACTAGTGATGGGGCCGAATACCGAATATTCGGCCAAATTTTGGGCTGAATACCGAACATTCGGTGGCCGAATATTTACTTTTAGAAGCAAATTTAGCAAGAAAATATCTTTCAGCTCCTACAAGTACAATATACAGTGAGCGTTTATTTTCTGAAGCTGGTAATATATATGAAACCAAACAAAACAGACTTTAAATGCTGAAAAAATATTGTTCTTGCATCATAATTTCAGACTTTGCAATGATAAATGATTTTTTTATACCTGTAAACCATATATCTCATGTAGCTTGTTTCTCTAAGTATCAAGGCATCCATTAAATGGATAATTAATGTTTTACATTTATAATAAATAACTATATAATCATATATTTCTAGTGCATATTATTGATAAATAGATATTATTAAGGGAATCACAAATAAATTTTAATTGCCGATTCAGATAATATTCACACTTCTATTTAACAAACTATATATATTTGTATTTTAATGTAAAAGATTCCAATGCTTGTTTAAATACTTATGATGATAAATTTGCAACAAGAAAACGTTTTTATTTATGTAACATTATTAAATGCACTTATGTATTATACAACATAAATTGAGTAAATGTTAGATTTTCTAATAATTAATGCAGTGAAATATAACTCTGCAATATTCATGATTAAATATATTAAAAAGCACATCTAAAAAAATATCTCTCATTATTATGAATTTATTCAGCCAAATAACTAATAATATTCATATTCATGCCGAATATTTGGCAGAAGGGCCGAATACCGAATAGTGGCCGAATATTCTTTACATCTCTAATATGAACTGCATTTTTTAATAAGTGGTTGCAGTTTAAAAATACTGGTGGCAACCCTGGCAAATAGCAAAATTTCCTAATTTTATCATAGCAAAATTTCCTAATGCCCTGTAATATACAGCTACATTTAGCCATTAATTCTAACCCTGCTCATAATTTTTTAACTTACCAAGTTTTTCGTTTATAGGTTATAAAAAAGAATTTAGATATGTTTACAAAAGTTGTTTTTTTTTCTATTGCAGGAAAACCTTCTACTAGAGTATTTAAAAAATCAAAATATTGATGCTGCTGTCAAAACTTTCAAAGAAATGAGGATGCCAAAAAAGTAAATTTTTTTCTTTTAATCAATTTTAAAATGATTAGAGAGAGAGAGGTTCTAAATCTTTTGGTCTGTAGGTATGCTAGTGATGTGATGTTGATGATGATGAAACTAACCATTGAGAAGACAGAGAGCGAAAGAGAACTTCTCAGCCAATTGCTCAGTGAACTCAAAAAAGAGGGTCAATTAAATGGAAATCAGGTGATGGACGTAAGTATATTTATGCACGAATAAACAAATATATATATTTTTTTTATCAAGTTATGTAACTAGTTATGTAGTATCCAAGTTATGTAGTACACAAGGTTGCATTCCCCATAAAATTCCTAATAATCATTAAAGTTATAGGGAAGAAATATCGATAAAGTTACCCAAACTTGGGAATTACCCTGCACCCTTTATTTTAACCAAATCTGCACAAGATGTCATTTCTCTGCAAGAAGAGGCTTGCGGCGTCTTTGGAAAGAAGAAAACTAGTTAGATAAAGTCAACTGCGTCGCCGTGCCGGCATTCGGGTGTGTGATTGATTGGATTTGTGTTGTTATGTTCCACTTGAGACGTCACGCGCCTCTCCTTACCCGTCTCTCCTTGTCTATTGCGGGGTTCTCGAATGAGACGAACTCTTTGGTCAGTCACGTCAAAATATTACTTTCAGACGCCTTTTTTTATTAGGTTTCAGTAGTGAATGGCTGATTTGTTCTGATTGACCTGGAATTGCTCTTTGTTGTACAGGGACATGTGTTTGTCAGTTACCTGCATTTTTATGTTTCTTCTAGTTTGTCTAGTAATATAAACATTTGGGATCATTTTCACACTGTCTTACAGTATTTGTCTGCGAAAAAATTTATGCTGTGGAATAAGGACGAACCAAATTCCAGAACGATTGGTTTGAAAAAGAACTGGACAATATTTTTCTAAAAGAATGGTTGGAATTGGTGGCTGGTGTTTATTTCCCGAAGTGGGGTTTATGTTTCAAAACTTTTGAAATATCAGGAAGTCGTTTCACTCAAGTTCAATAAGTGATTTAAAGCAATGGTCAAGCAATACTATTTATTTGGGTGCAAAATAGAAGTATTGTTGATACTGCTGTTCTTTGCTAGCAAAATCAAATTTTGAAAGCTGAAACTCTGATTTGTGCATATAGCTGAGAAAAATATTTCTTTTAAATCTTGTACAGATACAATCGATTTATTTAAAGTAATGTTTCCCGATTTCCCCATAGTATTGGCAATACAACTTAAAAAAACTGCTTTTGTACTGATCCATAAATTTAAAGTATTTTGTCTCTTAATGAAGGACTAAAATAAGCAGGATAAAATAACATTAACATTTGATGACAGTACTAATGTACAGAACAAGCGGCGTAACATGTCAATATCTGAAAACTGTATTTCTAGGTCATGCTCACTTTAATACTACTACAGGCAGTAAAGGAATCTCACAAGCCATACCATGAATATACTAGTAAATTTAAAGAGGAAGCTTAAAAAAGAAAAAATTACAAGAGTTAGAAAAAGAAGAAAAATAGAAAAATCATTTTGATTAGCAAAAATAATCTGAAGATCAATGACTTGAAAAAGAATTAGCTTTAAGTCTTATGAAAAAGGGAACAAAAAGGCTGATAAACAGCCACAAACATTATGGAGATGACTGTCTTCAAACTGGAAAGGAACAACTTTTGACAAAGAGACTCAAAACTAATTTTATTTTCTGTAACTTCTGATGTAAATTGCTAATTTGGAATTTAATATCAGACAATAGTTTTTTTTATTAATAAGGTGATAGGATTTAAATAACAAGGTTTCTAATAATAAGTTAAAAGTAAAGTTTGGCTATATGAAATGAAAAGTATTTTGGAGGGGATGTTCTTTTTTTTTAATTATTACAGAATCGAAGTAGAGTTGATCATTAATTTATTAAATATGTAGATTATTTATTTTTTTGCAATATTTTCTGTATTTGTATACTTAAATTTTTCACATAAATATCGTAAGAAATTGGAATGTGAATTCTCTTCTGTTTTTATCTGGCATTCTATTTTTTCTGGGTACTTAAATTACACAGGGCACCAGAAAAAAAGAAAAAAGACCACCTTGAATAGCTTTTGATCCAATGATAGGATCTTCACTTTCTAGGACTCACTCTTAAAAATTAATGACTCGAGGCCGTGACCTCAAATATGCTAATTAATAAGCGCAGATGATATTTTAACTTTCGGAAACACGCAAAAACTTACTTTCTCTGAATAAACATCCTTTTTTGTACTTATTTGGATTTCTGACCCCCAAATTTTTGGGGGATGGCTGCAATCTGGGAAATATTTTCCCAATGGTTTAGTCAGAAGAGCACTTCAAAGTTTGGACCCCTTAATGTTTTTTGCGTATTTTGCTATATCTCGAGAACTTTTTAAGCGAATATAAAATTTTTCACACATAATTATAAAATTCACATACCCAATTCCATGCAAAAATAAATAACTTTTAGAAAATATTAATTTTTTTAATTTTATTTAATGATGATCAAAAAAAGTTTTGAATGTATACAATTTTTTGCACCATTTTAAAGATTTCAATTTTTAATTGCAAAATACAAAATTTGAACGAAATCGGTTGAATAGTTCCTGAGAAATTGACTTTCAAAAAAGTCTGATATTTAAAATTCGGAGCAGATCTAGTATGGGTGTTTTAAAAGTTTTAGAAAATGGTGATTACTATTTGTCAAGAATATAATCAGATCCCTTGTGGTTAATTCTTTAAAATACTGATGAAAGAATAATTGTTCAATAAGGTATTTTGATGATAAGTGGAAGCTATAAACCACATAATTAGAAAAATTAATAGTTTACGATTGTTAGCATTTAAAATTTGAAATGTGACTACTCTTAAAAAACTAGGTTTCTTATAAGGAAACAACTTGTAGTTTGATTTACTGGTTTTGTGCCTCAGAAGTTGTGTTTCAGATATGATTAAGGAAGCATTCATTTTCATCTATTCAGTTATGAAAAAAGTATCTTAGTTTCTTTCTAGACTTAAAATAGTATCACTTTTTAGTATTTCCTCAGAAAATATCCACTTAGCCGAGATTTAAGAAAAATTGGCTTAAATGTTAATTTTTTTTTCAGGCTTTAAAGTGTATATTTCAACAGATGTCAGATTTAGAGGCTGAAGTTCCTCGTGTCAAGTCTCACGTTGCTGGCTTTGCTGCCAGGGGAATATCCAGTGACGTGGTCAGCTTGTCCCTGGTGGCAGAACCTCTGGAAGGTGGGGCACACTACCCCCTCTTCCTTCTCTGTCTGCAACAGTTACACAAATCACAAGGCCGCAATTGGTTGCAGTCTACTTTTAACCAGAGCAAGATTAACCTACTTTCTATGCTTCCAGGTAATTTCTTAAGTGAAAAAAAAATTAACATTATGAATTATCTTCATAATATTTTATAAGATTTGCCGACATATTAAAGGAAAAGGCAGTGTATTTGTCTAATTAGAAAATTTGCTCTTCACTGAGGACTTTGTAGTTTCATCTTCAAACAATGTTTTGATGATTTTAATATCTCCTTTGTTCTAATTGACCTTAATAATGATTTCACCATAATCTTAAAAATATGTATGGATTAACTAACAGGATTAACTAGAATCATTTATAAAAATATACTGCTTACATGCAATAAAAATTTGTTTTCACTAACAGAAATTTTTTTAAAAATGAAGTATAAAATTCGGAAAAGCACCTCATTCCCATTTATGCTTTTGATTGTAGCAAGCATGATGTATTGAAAAACATGCAAACTTTGACATGAAGTCGATGATTGTCTGTTTATTTTAAAAATTTGTCGAGACATTATGACTTCACCTTAAATTTACTCAGATATACTTATTTTATAAATATATATTTTCCCAAAGAGCAATAATATGTAAACATTTAAAAATTATATTCATTTATTTAAAATAACATAAACACACATTAACAATTAAACTCAAGCGTAAAAAGATTTTTATGGGAGTTTTTTTTTTACTTCATTTGTTTACACTATGCTAAAAGTATTTGGCTTGGTTGTTTTTAAAAAACCATAAGTTTTCTATGATTTGAAATTATATTTTTAAGAACATAATTTCAGGGAATATAATTCTCCAAATTTTTATGTTTGCTTCTTATTTTTAATAAAAATTAAATTTCCCCCTTAAAGAGATTGACCGAACGAAGGAGAGACTGGCTGACATCCTGGAGGACAGGGGACTGAGCTTCCTTTTCCCCCTCCTCCGTATCCAGGCAGATCTCTGGAAACAGATGCAGACAGATCCCAGCCCCACCTCTCTCTACAGGTGGATCAAAGAAACCATCGATGCCTCTCAACACACTGTGCCTGGATTTGTGAGCGCCCTTGTCTCATGGTCAGTTCATTCACCTCCACTTTTATCATTGATTGATTTTTAAATCATGCTAAGAAGAATCCCTATGCTTGATTTTAAAATAGTGTGGATACGAATTCAGATGTATAATAATCAGTCGCGTTAATGCAAAACATGATATTTTATATCAAATCTTAAAATTGCGAAACATGATGTGCAATCTTAAATCACGTAAACAGGGGTCGCATTCCCCCTAAAATTCATAAAATTCCTAAAACTATGCGCAAACCCTAAAAATCTGATAAAATTTTGTTGGTGTTCCTAAAAAATTAGAGTTATTGGCTAAATATAAATAAAAAAAGCAATAATCTAAAACCCATAAGCAGAATATTTTCAAATGTTCCTGTTTTAATTTTGCCACACGGGAATTCTGATCCTCAGAGAGGTTTTTCGATAAATAAAGCATTGCTTAATGTGAGTCAGCATGAGAATACTATTATGTCTCTTAGACTAATCAAAGATACCATTCAAAATTATGGAGGAGTGTTGAAGATCACCACAACACTATTGAGGGCAGTAAAAGAATCTCAAGAATATATTAGCAAAATGATCATAATTAATTTGTTTTTCCCTAACTTCTAATATAAATTGCTGATTTGAAATCTAATAATATCACACAATAGTTTTTCTTAATAAGGTAAGGTAAAGGGTAATAATAAAGTTTTGATTAAGAAGGTAAAAATTAAATAAAAATCAAATAAAAAAGTATTCTATTTCAGAGAGGAATGTCCTTTTTTTTAAAAATTACTATAGAATCAAAATAGAATTTTAATTTATGGTAATAATTTTAATTAAAGGTATGCAGATTATTTGTTCTGATTTTTCGAACTATTTTTTTTTTAATACTTTTATTGTTTATATAAACATCGCAGAGGATGAGAAAGGGAATTGTTTACAATATATGTAACTTTAGTTAGCAATATTTTTGTCATGATTTCCATTAATTTTATCTGATATTAAATTTTGGAAACTTTTCTGTGTGCTTTAATAGTACATATAAGTATCAGAGATATGAGAATTTAAATTGTTCAAAGTATATACAATTTAAGACAGTATAATAAAGTTGATACAGTTTTTATATGGTATATTTTTGCTTCATAAATGATTAAATCATTTTCTGTATACTTAATCTGATAAGGATGGGAAAGAAAGAAATTGTGAATTTTTTTAATATGTATATCGCTTATAATAATTTTAAGTTCATAAAGTTTTATTCAAATATTCCTTAATTTTTTATTTGGCGTTGCATACGAATTGTTTTGGATTTAATAGAGTATATTTAATTTTTCCAAGTTGGTGTTAATTTATTTTTTCTCTAGATTTATTCTCACTTTTGCCTGTTCCTGAATTATGCACTTAATTTTTGATAGGTAATATGTTAAGTTGAAATTTCATTTTTACACTTTAGAGATTTCATTCTTGACTTAATAAGTTTCAGAGCTTTATTTTATGGCTTCCAATTATTTATGATATGTATGGATGAATTATAGTAATCTTCTGTTATGTAATAAACTACCGTGTGATCTGTTTTTATCCTAGCAAAATCTTATATTACCCCTAAAATTTACCTAAACTTTTTTGAAAAAAGTTCCTAAAATTACCCTAAAATTTTAAAAAACTTTGCTTCTACCCCCTGCGTAAATGCAAATTGTGATGTCTGATTTTTCTTTTTTCTTTTTTTTTTTAAAAAAAGAAACAAACTACTTATTGAGTTTCTGATATCTATTCAACCAAAGAATTCACTTCACAGAAAGCTTTACAACAATGTTTATTTAAAAGAAGATAAAACTTTAAATACAAAGAGAGAAAACTATACTTAACAAAACTCAATCTAGAGCAGAACATAATTAACTGCAAAAACACCCATTCCACAACAGGAAATGACACGGCAAAACACTCCCACCTATTTGTTCAGACTTGGTTTGAATTTACCAACAATTTTAAATTGTGTGAACACGTATGTGATTTTGAATTGTGTGCATGTAATTTTGAATTGCATTTGTAGGTGTAAAATGTAGTTATTACAGGTGTAAAAATGTAAAAGCAAATATTCTTTTCTTATTAAATTGAAAAAGACAGAAAAACTCTCATCCCTGATTCCATCATGCAAGAAAGTCAATAGCAATGACGCAATTGCTGAATTAAGAAGAGCGGTTGCATGAAGCAGATAGAGAGAAAAAAAAAATTCTTGCATCAATCTTGGTCAGATTGGCCTACTTGTTAAGATAAGGAAATGTTAATCTTTTTTTTTATTATTATTAATGAAATATTTTTATCTTAAATATATATATAAATATAAGTGTTTGTGTTTAGCGAAAGAGATAAAGCAGCAAATTATTTTACATACTATAATGAGCCCATTGAAATATGAAGATATGAAATGAATAATGATTGAAAAATTATAATTTAAAAGTTACATTCTTATCTACATTTAAGCTCTTAAAAAAAGAGATAATATTTTGTTTATTAACTTATTTCTTGATGCTATGAATAAAACAATAATGCCAATGAGATTTGATATCAGTGGTTTATTATCAGCCTTCGTAATGAGAATCTATGATTTAAAAAAAATTTTGTGATTGAAATCAAATATTTTTTTTTTTAAAATTATGCCAAAACTTTTTTTTTTTATTTTTCTTGACATTTTCTGCAGCAGTCCTTAAGGATTGCCCGCCGCACTCACAAATCGGCAGTAGTTGAATTTTTTAATGCAATTACTTTCCATGACAAAAAGTACCATGTTATTTTAAAAATTACACTCCTGAATGTAAAGGAACATTAACTGAAATAAAATTCACATTTGAAAATGTAAATTATAATAACCCTGAACTCATTATCAGAAAACTCTAAATCGAGTTCGCCCACCCCTTACAACGGCCCTGCTTAATGGCTGTTGTGAAATTGCTTCTTACTTAAACATTTTAAATTGCAATTTCTGATAGGTTATTAAATCTTCAAATTGATTCTTAGTTAGAAATTATTCCAATTGAGTATTCAATATGAAATAACAACACAAGAATATAATAACTTAAATTAAAATTTCTTAATAGGACTTATCTAGGAAAAAAAAACATTTTTTTAAGTAATTTCTAATTTTTTATATGGTTAAATTTGTAGTATGGAAAGCATACTTGCCAACTCTTTATGCTTTATTATACTTATATTTTGAAAGATTTTAACAGGTTTTAATCGATTTGCTGAATGTTTAATTTTATCATTAAAAATACAGCTTAAACTACTATATGTATATAAGTCCCACATCGTGGTTCATATTCCTACAATTTTAAAATCAAACGTGATTCTTAATCACGAGGCTTAAAAATTATGCATCATGATTTGTATTTACATAATTTAAAAATAAAATGTGATTTATATTTATGTAGGTTTAAAATCTGATATCACAATTCTTATTCACATGATTTAAATATTATTCATGCATCGTGATTCCTATTCATGCAATTCATTTGTAATATTTATATTCAATATTTCCACAGGTAATTAAAAGACTAAAAAATGTATTTCCTTTTTTTTCTGAAAATATTTTTATTTCTAAAGAATTGTCCAAATTTATGTGAATTGTCCAAATTTGTGTGTTCAAATCTAATGTTTCTTAAAATACTAACTTCGATAAATTTTATTTATTTGTACAATACAATATAAGTATTAAAATTTCATGAAATTTGATTAAAAAAGGTATATATCAATTTCTCAATTATTAAAATTTTCTGAAAGTCATAATGGACCACACTCAATGTTATGTTTCCTACATACTTTTTTCCTGACAAAATTGCAGTTTTTTCTTCCCCCTTTTGCTCTAAAGTTTGGTAAGGTGAAAAACTGCACTGTTTCTAACTGCAACTTCTCTTCATAAACTGTTGCGGCAATATAAAACAGATTGTTTTTATGCAAATGATTCCTATTTTGTTTTACTTGTAGCATGATCAAGTATATTACTCAAGAAACTACTCTTGCGGATGGATTAGATCATTCAAGTGTACCAGATAAAAACATACTTGACAAAGAAAAAGAAATGTTAGATAAATTCAAGGTAATCCAGTTATGTATTCATTCAAAAAGTAATTCACAGTGTTTCTGTTGTGCTTAATGATTTTATTTTCCCTGTGAGCTTCATTCTCAAGACAGATTTAATAATCGATGTTTGTTCTAAAATATTTTTTATGTTGTTAAATTCTTTGTTCCAAAATTGATATTCTTTTTACCATTTTTAATGATTAGTTTTTTATTAAAATGTTGGCTGGTAACACAAGTTGTGAATGAGATAAATGTGTCTTAAATTCTGATTTGTGACTTTCAAACAGTTAAATCAGAGCAATATATTTGTTTCTCTATCTGAGTAAATATTTTATTTTTTAATTATGAAATTTTTCTATTTCATACATCCATGTATTTTCTTTTTTATTTATTTTTCAACGCTAGTTATTGTCTTCAAAAGAAAGTAATAATTTCTTAATTATGTGATTGTTAAAGTAAAGATAGAAACAAGAAAAAGTAGAGTTTATTTCAAATCCTTTAGTTAAAAAATGTTTTTCGAGCCCTGATATAAAAAATATATGTATAACAATTCCAGATAAGAAATGAACGTAACTGCCTCAGTTAAGATTTTTGTTGTGCTTAAAGGTCCTTATTATTTTTTTTAATAGTGTGTCAAAACCATCAACCCGTGCAAACAATTTCAGTTGTATTTTTCACGGGAAAGACGATTCTACTGTGCAAATTTTAATCTGTAGAGTAAAACAAATAAAGGGAAATTTTTGTAGTATTATTTGTAAAAAATTATTTCAAAAAAGTTTGAGCCAAACTTGAACAACAGATTCTCAAGAAATAGTATTAATTCTCAATTTGTTTATCGATTGATCTGTTTTTCTCACTCAGTTATTTGATTTCCCAGGGTCACTAATTACTTCAGAAACAAAGAAAACCTCAAATTCTTGAAAAAATTTACCCCCTTTCTGAAGTTTTTTAGTTCCATTCATTCCATTGAGCACGGCATCACCATATTCGCACATAATTTTGTTGCAAATGATTCATTCTATTCTTTCTCATTTCTGTGCAATGAATTGTTCATTTAAAATTTTAAAAAAGCTGCATTTTCTGTTGTTTTTCTTTATTGGTGATATAATAATATTAGGATAATAAACCTGGCATGTGAATCTTCTGCCGATTTGCAGAAATCCACGAATCTAGAAACCGTTGATTCACAGATTGCAGCAAATCAGTAATTTATATTTCGGCAAAATTTTCTCGAAGTTCCACAAGCAAGACATATATTCTGCCCTGACCACCACCTTTTCTTTCTTCCCAAGTTCTCATACAGAATAAAGTCTTTTTATGCAGAGAGAAAATTGCATCTTTGATAACCCTAAAAAATCTAACTGCGGCTGAAACTAATGAATTGACAATGAGGCAAATACAAAAGTATAGAATTGATAACCTAGAAAGATATTTCCAAAATAACAAGCATTTGAAAAATTGCTCACTAAAAAATAAATTTTTTTGTGCCAATTTCAAGTTGTAGCGAAGGAATTTATGTGATATATTTGCTTCCTTTTTTATTTGCCTGCAATTAGATTGAATTAATTTTTCGAGTGTTAATATGACATAGAAATTTTGAATTGTGCATTTCAGTAATCACTTTTTATCGAGCTCAACACCATCTTAAATCCACGTTTTGATCTCTTTTTTTTTCCCCTTCATTTACAGATAATGCAATTGATTTTCTCATAGTTTTTAAAATTCTAATGTTATTACAACACACGAAATTTGAATAATCACTTTTTGATGCTCTTGATTTGTATGAATATCATCTTAAATCCACACGGTTTTCCAATAATTTTTTCGCTATTGTTGCTACAAATTGTATCTTTCTTTAATCTTTTAATTGTATCTTTCTTTCTTTTCCTTACATTGTTTATGCATTATTATTGCGTCAAGCGGTTTGTGCGTTTATTAGTCACTTTTTATATGGCGATCCCCCCCCCCCTTTTTTTTGGATCAAGTTTTTCACAATAATTGCTACTGAGATCCATGTTTTTTTTTTATTTGTATAATTTCATTCAATATCGTCAGGAAATGAAAAATTCAAATAACTTTTTAACACAGTCGATTTGCTCTAAATCCATGATGCATTTTGATACGGCTTTTTTTTTTCTTTCCTTTTTAATGCTGATAACTTTTTAACATGATTTTTTTTAAATTACAGTATTATTATGATACGAAAATTCAACTCACGTACTTGGGTCTTTACTATTTGACGCGATAGTTCTATCATTTTTTCCCCCTTCAATTATTTGGCAGTTATCGCTACTAATTTTTGCATATTTTTTAAAATCTCTATATTTTTATTACGTTATTATTCATAATAACACATGAATCTCAAAACGCCTCTGATTAGTGCGTTCGATTGTGTTGCAATTACATTTGGTTTATCATTCATCTTTTATTAGCTATTTCGGAATCTCATAGTTTTTAAAATCTTTTTCTTTTCTTATGCGATGACGACCCGCAAATTGCAAAAAAGCAGGAATTTGTAATATTTTCAATGTATATTTCCATAAAAATAACTCAAGAATTATCTTTGTGCAAAAAGATTTTTAAAAAAAAAATAAATTGAGAAAAAATTCTTGATAATTTCTTCTTTCAGCAGTCTGTAAACCTTTTTGTGAACCAATTTCTTTATTTCTAAAGCCTATGATAAAATCAAGAAAATTTTTAATGGAAATTAGAAGAAATGTTTTGAGAAAATTGTAGGCATGAAATAATGAAAACGAACTAACAATTTTTATTTAATTTTTTCTGCATTTAATAAATGTGTATGTAAATTTTAAAATTATACTTTAGATTATGTGAATTCCAAAACTTAGGTAATTAATATTTTACTGAAAATCTCGGGGATGTAAATTTTGTCTTGGGTGTAGCCAACCTGTTAGCATAGGTCGTTTTTGTCAATGAAAACCTCTAATTCAAAATAATATTTGACTTAAAAATTATTTTTCAGTGAACAGAATGTATGACGTGTACTGAATTATTAGAGTTAGAAATGATGCAAGTGCAAATGCTGAAGTTTTGTTTAATTTCTATAAGCATTCAGGCGTAAGATATTCTGCCGCAATTATTTATATGTCGCATTTTTCTGCAGAATAATACTTTGTTTATTAGTTTATACAAGTTAAATAAGCTTTTGCAGTTAGATTATATTTAATAGTATATCATGTAACATTCCTTTTACTCTTATATAGCCTGTGTTCCAAGCATTTTTACATGAGCAGCCAGGACTGCAACTGGTTACGTTGTATGCCCTTCAAGTTCATTGCTACAACCATGGATTTCCTAAAGGTATTTCCATTATTTGTCCCTCCATATTTCTGGTTTTTTAGTTCATCTCAGTGTTTTTATTTTTTAAGAGTATGCTATACCACACACCCTTTTTGTCTATGTAAGTAAATTAAAGTTAAGAAAAGAATGAGTTTCAAATGCTGAAGAAAAAAAAATTTTTCTAAATGCAAACAAATTGTGAAGGGATCACTTAAGATTATGCTATGAGAAAGTTCCAATAATTTTTGTTTTTTTTATTTTGTATGTTGATATTTAGAAAACATTTTTTCAACTTTTGAAGTTCCATCATTTTCTCTAGGTTTACAGCTGAACTTTTGTTTCCATTTTTAAGAAACTTTTCCCTCAGTATACCGTCATCTTAAGAGAAAAATTTAGATTCTGCTTAAATCTGTGATTTTTAAAATTCTAGTAAAAATGTTGATAAAAAACTTTTCCTTTGTTGAATGAATCCACTTAATATTTTAAATATTTATATATACGAACATATATAATTCTTCTCTTATTTTCTGTATATGATGTATTGCTTAAATGAAAATTGATCGTGGCGTGCCAAGTATCTATTTTCAAGTAAGTTCATCGTGAATAAAACTGTTTTATCGATGTTGCAGGTATGCTGCTAAGGTGGTTCATGATGTTTTATGACCAAGAGGTGATAGAGGAAGAGGCCTTCCTGAAGTGGAAGGAGGATGTCAACGATGAATACCCTGGAAAAGGAAAAGCTCTCTTTCAAGTGAGTTCCCCTTCATTCTGAACACTTTTATGAATCGCCTTCCAAAGAGGTGATTCAGGTTTGAATCCCAGCGACGACTGGTCGATACGAATTCCGCATTCGGCTTGCACCCACCACAGTGCTGATGCAAAATATCCTCAGTGCTAGACGGATCATGGGTTAGAGTCCCCTTGCCATCAAGGTGGAGGGTGTTCGTGGTGTTTGTGTGTTGATCTGTGGGATGTTTTCCTCTCCATGTAACGTGAATGCGGGTTAGTTCCAACAAAAAAGTCCTCCACGAAGGAAAATTCGGATGATTGTTGTTTCCAATAATTCAACTTAATAATTTTAAAAAAGATTAAAACTCCACATAACTTTTTTAAAATGATTTTAGTACGATTCAAAAAAATTTATTAATTTTATTTAAACGGGATTTTATTGACAAAAGTTTTTTTTTTTTTCGGGAGAACTATTAAAGGTTTTAGCATTAAATAACTTTAAAAAATTGAAAATAAATTGTAAGATTTTTTTTCTTCCAGTTTTGCAATATTTTTAAAAAAATAAGAAAAAGGATTTGGTAAATTGTTAAAAAAAAAAAAAAAAAAAAAAAAAAAAAAAAGAAATGAAAAGACAATGTTTTTAAGAGTTAAATGAACACTTGAAAAGTTTGTTTCAAATTAAATGTGCCTCACTACATCGTAACCTCTGTTTCAGTAAACAAAAGGAAACTTCTAAATTAGGGACAAATCAGCTAACTCAAAACGTTTTTACATCTTGATAAATGGGTAGTATAATTGTTACTCAATACAATGACTGCTAATAGTTTAAAAAAAAAAAAAAGAATATTGTTTTAGATACTTTTTGCATAAACAGTAAGTTCAGTTTACATCTTAGCTGCGAGAAATGGGGCTCACTGTATGCAGTATATAAAATCAAGCGCACTATTATATTATTTTCAGCACTGAGCATTTTAAAACTGATTAGAAATGTATTAATGGGCTTCGTAATAGACGAAGAAATAATCAGGACACTTTTTGAAATAGTAGACATATACAAAACTATATTTAAAAAGGGCAGACAACAAATTAAATATAGTATACTCTAGTAAAATATGACAAAGGCGAATTTAATTGCAAAAGGAGGGATAAAATACACTTTTTTAATATTAGGAAGTTTGCATTTCATAACCCACTTTAATGGATGAGCAACAAGTTTACGATATCAGGGCTGCTACTTATCCGAAAAAAGATTTCTTTAAAGAAAGGAATATTTCTTTATTACCTTTCTTTCGAGGAGAAGTTAACAAGCAAGAACTACTTCTTGATAGTTATATAGCATTCTTTACAATGAAGATTTGTATCAGATGGAATTGAAACACTCACAAAACCAGAATTTCAAATATTTTATTAGAATAACTACAAAATTATTTTTATTCAATTTTCATAAAAAATAATTGGAGATCCGGGATGGCTCAAGGAATAGAGCGTTCGCCTTACAATGAGGTGTGACTGGTTTGAATCCCCGTGATGGCTGGTCGCATCCAGTTTGCACCGACTGCAGTGCTGGTGTGAAATACCCTCAGTGGTAGGACGGATCACGGGTTAGATTCCCCTTGCCGTCAGGCTAACTGTGGGAGGTTCTACTGTCTTTCTCTGCATGTATCACAAATGTGGGTTAGTTCCATCAGAAAGTCTTTCATGAAGTCTGGAATGGGTTCAAAATGACTAGGCTACGGAGTTGAACATAAGTAGTCGTAAACCCAACAAATTGGGTCGACTGTTCAGAAGTGGTTATAAAATAAAATAATATGTACAGTAGAGAAACATTTATCCGGTATCCAGAAAACCGGAAAGAATTTTGCTTGGTTTTCCCACTATTTTGAAGTATTATAAAAAAAAAAAAAACGGAAATTTGACTTATCCTTGAAGTTGAGTAGAGGGAAAGGGGGGAATTCTCCTCTTTTGCCCAGAGAAACTTCAATTCTTCTCCTGACCTTGATGATCATAGATCGAGAGAGGGCAGGGAAGTTTTATTTTCTCCTGTCTGTTGGTTGTTTTTCGGATAAGCTGCCGTCAATCAAGCTTAAAGGAGTGGAAATGCTGATTTCGTTTTCTCTTTGATTTAAGAAGGGGTGGGGAAAAGGTATTGCACAAGCATATTAATGAATGTTCCAGTTAAGGAACTTGAAACTTCTGGCTAAGAGTATTGACATGTGAGATTTATTTTAAATCAACCTTAGTTAGTCAGTTTTCGTTATCCTTTATTTATTGTGAGGAATTGTTTTATTTCGGATAATGCATTATTTATTACGAACAAAACGTTTTTTTAATCACTAGTTATATTCATCTATTTGGCATCGATTAACAAAACAATATATTTTTTGTGTAAATATGTTCTGATTTTCTAGAAATGCGGTATCATTAGCAAGTTTTTCTTGATGTCGAATCACATCTGCTTTTGTTAAAAATAGTCTTTTATAAAAAAAATGAGATAAAAGGATAAGATTGTTTATTAGTTTAAGCTTCTTTTTTTAATTTTGATTTTTTTTAAAGATAAGTTTCGTAATTAGTAAGTTCTTTTTATTCATAAATTTTATCATTGAGTTTTTTTTTTTTTTAATTCCCTTGATCTTATAATATCCTGCCTTGTTCCAGGTTTTAATATTTATGTTAGTGTAGGGTTCCCACAGTCCTTAAAAGTCCTAAAAAACTGCTTAATTTTTATTTTGGAATATAAGGGCCCTTAAAAGTACTTAATTTTGGCACAAGGTTTTTAAAAGTCCTTAATTTTTCAGCATCACTATCGGAACAATTTTTCAGTTCAATTTTTTTAAAACAAAATACCGTTCTTTTATCACCCAGGATAGGGCCATGCATCATTTTAGAGAGACAAAAATTAATGTGTTTGATGGGAAGGAAGCATGTCCTTTTATTAATATATTGGTTCTTCCGTTATGCTTTTTCAGAGGGGGGGGGGCAGTTTTAAGGTACCTAAGTACAGTACAGAACCTGTTATCAGGAAATCAGAAAACCGGAACGAGATTTGTAAATTTTCCCGCCATTTTTAAAAAACACTTTTTTTTCCTCGTAAAATTTTAGGATTTTTCTTTTTTGAAAGATGTTTACCTTAATATTTACCATTTTGGAAATAATCATTAGTGTATTACTTCATATTTTTTTCTTCTTTTTAAGACTATTTCCAAATATTATTATTTTTTTTAGTTGCTTTTAACAATAAAAAAAAACAGCTTTTTGTAGCGATTCAGAAAACCGGAAAAATCAGTAATCCGGAATAGCGATGGTCCCGATCGTTCCGGATAATCGGTTCCCTACTGTAGAAGACCCACACTAACCTTCAAAATTGACAGAATTCAAGAAATTCAGTTCTGCTAGTCATCTGCTTATAGGAATTAAGTAAAACCCTAAGAAAAGAAGTATCAGAAATATTTTTTGAACTAGAATCCATAGCGAAAACTATTTCCTGAGTTCTTGAAGAATTTAATTAATTTGTATAATATTTCAATGTGTAATAAGTAACTAAATTTATTGAAAGCAGTGAAATTTTTGTAAAATTCCTGATTGTACTAAAAATTAAACAGATCTGTAATAAACAGGGTTTGAAAAATCCCACCCCACCTTTGTTTTTCATCAAAAACCTGGGTTTTTGATGAAAACCTCAAATTTTTTCAAAAATACTTTTTCTGAGTACTAAATAAGAATGCATGATTTGCTTCTAACAAGAAAGTTAAATATTTAACTACTATTTATAATTTGTTTAGTTGCAATGTAAATGTAAATTTTTAGATTGTTACACTATTATTTTTGTTTCTTAAGGATAAGCAGATTGTCACGTAATATTTAAATCTACTCAATTAAAAGATCCTTAGATATTAATAAATTTTTTTTCATTAAACATTGTAACTTAATATACTGTTTTTTTTTTTTTTTTTTTTTTTTTTTTTTTTTTTTTTTTTTTTTTAAATTTTTATTCAATTTTTAGTTCTTTCAAAAATTTTCATGTTTTTCACCAGATTGTTTAGTAGCATCATGTAAAGTTAATTCCTAATAGCAGGCTTGGCTAGTAATAATTTTGTATAAAGCTCATTATAAAAGTAAATATAGCACATTTGTTATATAGTTATAATTTCAAAATTGATGAGTTACATACCGTTTTAAATATGTTTTTCATAAAATATTTCAATATTTTTTTACAAAATGTTACCTGATAAGGTGATATTACAGGACTATTTTATAATAAAAGAATACCACTTTCAGTTATCAACTGTTAATTTGTGATAAGAAAAAAATTTTCAAATCAAAATAATAGTAAAGAGTATATTAGGAATGGTAGAGGCTGATAAAGAAATATTGCTAGTAAATATCTATAAATGATTAAAATATAAATAATTTATCAGTATTTATTAATTAAGGAACCTTATCAACTTTCTGGCCATAGGAATATGTTGATATCTTTGAAAAATCGTTTTAGACCCTTTTGTTTACATGTTTACTAACTGATAAAAACCTAATAATAAGAACTAATAAAAGATAACTAATAAAAAACAAATTGGTTTGAAAATTATAAATCTTTTCGAATGTAATTGTATTTTTATTCTATATAAATTTTTATAAAAATATTTATTGCAGTGAATTTAAAAAATATATTGAGTTAAGCCTTATGAAAAAAATGTGGAATGATTTAAGGTGCTTAGATATTAGTATCGCCTTTTTTTACTCAAAATAGGACTTAATTTTACAGTTAAGAAAACTATTCTTAAGCCTAACTCTACTTCAACTTTTTAGTATTAATTATTTTAAGATATTACTTTATAAATAAAACATTTTATTAATAGAAAAGAAATAATTTTTTTTTAGCGTAACTGAACATTTAGCAAGATTGGCCCACAAATGAATATGTGATGCAGGTCTAGTAGTGAAATATAAAAACTTGTAATGAATTTTTCAATGTTTTTGCTAAATTTTTTTATTTACTCTTTTCTTTAATATACATGAAAAAAATTGCAAATCTTAATTTCTGGACATAATTTTACAATTCAATTTCAATGAAATCGTTAAAAATTGAATATGGATTAGTTTCATAGATGATGTTAACCTTTTACGATCTGAAAATGTTTTTTAAAAAAAACCAACCCTGGTTTGCAAAAATTGCCTGGTACTTTGGCGAGCCCTATTAATGAATGCATTTATATCAGTGCTTACATTATGATAAAATTGTTTTTTTTTATATTTTTTATTTATCGATTTTTTTTAAAAAGGAAATGTAAATAATTTGCACTGTCACTGGTAGTGTATATATATATATATATAAAAAGTTCAAAATGAAGATAAAACAAAGGAAAATTATCGACACATGAAAAGGGGGGGATAATAATTGAAAAAAAATAACAAACGACTGATTTAAAAAAAAAAAAAAAAAAGAGTGCTTTCTGATATTGTATCAATATAGCCAAAGCAAAATATATTAATACAATAGTGTGAGGAGCACTCAAAAAAATTTTTTACAAAAATTACAACAAATAAAATAGAAAACAATAAGTAAAAATAACACGTAAAAACAGAAAATAAAATAAAATGAAAAAACAGTATAAAACAAAATCCCTAAAGCGAGTAGCGAAATCAGATGTACTTACATGAACGAGAAAATTTTCAAGAATGATTTGAAAATATTTTTGCAATAAGATTGCCAGATTACAAAATATGAAAACAAAAGCGCAAATTGAGTGTAACTAGAGGAATTTAAAGTGCCATTCTTACTGCATTGCTGAAGTGATTTGTTATGCTGTGTTTTGATTTGTTAGTTACCAAGGATGGACCCGAAATGGATGTGCGCAAGGTAATATTATATATATATATATGTATGTATATATATATATATTTGATGAATAACAATCATTCTAAGTCCTTAATTTTTCAAAGAAGTCCTTAATTGTTTAAAAAAAAAGGACCTTAAAAGTGCTTAATTTTTGCTTTGTTAAAAGAGTGGGAACCCTGTAGTACCTTTATTAAATATTGTTTCTGTTCGATAATTTTCAAGTATTTTTATTTAGATTAATAAGTTTTCCTTTTATCGCCTCCCCTTTTATATTAGTTAATTTGGGGATTTTAATTATTATCAAAAAATAAATAAATGAATTTTGTATTTTTTAAACTTCTTTTTCTTGTCTAAACTTACAAATGTTTTTATCCTTTTAAATTTAGATCTTTTTATTTTTTTCTTATTTTAAAGAGTGTTATACTTTTTCCTTGTAATTTGGGTTTGATAAAACATCCATTAACGGCACTCTTGGCCGATCCAGAAAACCGGGAAATTCAGACATCCGGGATAGCGATGGTCCCGAGCATCCTGGTTAATTGGTTCTCTACTGTGTATGTGTGTATATATATACACACACCTTTGCTTTAATGAAATGCCTATTCCCAGACTGTTTTATTTGTTGATTAATAGGTAGTGTAAATTTTTTTATTTGTATTGTAAAATATCCTGGATTTTTCCTATTTTACATTGGCAATTGCATAATGAAAAAAACCCTATGAACCCAAATACTAGTTTCTGACTGCAATGAAAAGAATTTTTTATGGCTTTTAAAATAATTTTTGATGAATGCTATTTTCAATTTATATTTCAGGTGAACCAATGGCTGACTTGGCTCGAAGAAGCAGAAGAAGATTCAGATGACGGTGAAAATTAATGAATGAGGATTTTCTCACAAAATCCACTATTTCTCGCCAAACACTGAAAATGTGGAAACTTCTTTCCTTTTCCCAACCTCACTCACTACTTGCGAAATATTAACTCTTTTTGCATATCTATTCCCCCCTCCCTTATCATCTCTTTAAATCATTTGGAAATGAGTTTCTCTTCTTTTTCTTCTTTTATTCCTCTGGAACTATATTTAACATTCTTCTTTTATTTTCTAAAGAGGGAGTTTCTTTCATGCTCACCAGATGTGTGTCATTGGTTCCATCTTATCTTTAAAAAAAAATTAAAAAAAACTTTTTCATAAAGATCTTTTGGGTGGCAGCATTTAACCTGATTAATGACGAAGAGGTGTTGTGCTGCTCCTGCTGCTTGACTCTACAAACATAACTCTAGAAATAACGAACGAAAAAGGAAAAAAAAACTTCAAATTTAATACAATCCTGAGTTTTTCTTATACTTGGAGTCATTTTAACTCCTTCTTCTGTGCATTATATGTTAACTTATTTTGGTCGTAGCTCTTGTTAAAAAAGAACTCTTTAAACTTATTTGATAGTAACTAACATAAGGGCTATCTTTTGACTTATTTTGGTCTAAACTCTTATTGACTTAAGTACATTTTAATTTATAAGTTCAAGCAATTGTGGTTTGTGTGTTAACTCAATGAGCATACCTACTAAACATACTTTAAATCTAAGAACAGAATGATTTTTTGCAGAAAAGCTCTTTAAGTATATAATTCATCAAGTCAACATATTCACTCCAACTTGCTTTTAAATGAATTTTTACACAGAAATGTTATAATACCGTGTGTTGCCATTGTGTTTTGTTGGTATGCTCTCTTGAGTTGAAATGATGTTTAAAAGATGACAAAGGTAGTTATCTCTAATTATGTAAAAATTTTGAATAATTATAGTTATGTTTTTTATGTTTTTACAAAAAAGTAAAAATTAAATTTGTATCCCTACAGCTAAAAAGAAAGGGTAAAAAAATTTCTTTGATTTTTAGAAAATTTTCATTGCTGTCATGTTTTTAAATTTTTATCAAATAATTCAATCATGTTAATATATTTTAATTATTGATTACTATAAATCAATTATGAGAAATCGAGAAAAGGAGTTGTGTGTGCATTTTGTCCTTCTCTGCAGGCAGATTATTTTAAAGAGGAAAACGTTGTGAAAGTGAATCTGAATTTAATTTAGCATTTGTGTGTGTTTTTATGCAACATTATTTATCAAAACGTCCTCCCAACGCATCTCGTTTGTGTGTGTAATCGTCTTTTCGGAATGGATTTTAATTGTTTCAGATTTTTCTTTCTTAAGTGAGTTGCCTATCAAAGTATTGTTTTTATTATTGAATTTGACCTTTGACAGATGTAACCAATATTTAAAGCATTTTTTCATACGATTATATTGAAATAAACAATTCGATTATAGTTATGATAAACTGTTAAATTGTAGTGATGATAAAAAATAAAAGCAATCATATTTGTACTTCAATAAAAAAATTACCTTTCAAGTAGTTTTGGTCTCTGTTTATTTTTTTAACCTTGGAACATCTACCGTACAATTGCGCAAAAACGTACCTCTTCTAGTATCCATTAAAAAATACATATTTTATACTTCCCTGCTGGGTTTTTGACCCAACTAAAAACCCGGGGTCAAATGTTTTTTTTTATTTTTATAAACATAGTCAAAATGGATTAATAATAAAAGAGAAATAGATTTAAGGGATTTCATATTTATCTTAAATATATTGATTCTGAAATTTTCAAATCAAGACAAACTATAAATACATAGTTTAAAGAGTAATTCTTAAAACTATTAAGAAAGTTCTTTAATAAACAGTAATTCTGTAGTTGGCCTGCTAAAGGCTTACTTTACAGCTGAAAAATGAAGCTATTACTTATGAATGTTATAATTAATTTAAGAGTTTTATTAATAGCAGCATGAAAAGATGGTACTAGAATTAAAACTTATTTTAATTCATAACTTAATTATTTTCGTATAAAAGTTTTCTTTTTATTAATTGTTCTTTTTAGAATTAAATCTAAAAAGTGTTAAACTAGGTAATATCTTAAGAAAGCCCACTAAAACCCACCCGGGTTGGGGTGTTTTAAACCCTGCTTCCATGCAACACTTAGTGCTGAAACTGTAAAAATGACACGAAACAGACCCAACTGATCTCTTTAATTGTATATCATGGTGCGTAGCGTTTTTAAAAGGTGCTTATTTTCGATAGTCGTTTTTTAAAAGCCCTTAAAGGTGCTTCTTTCATTGGATGTTTTTAAAAAGTGTTTAATTTTCCCTCTTCGAAAATGAGATTTTTTTTCTTTACCATGCCGATTTTCGCCACGTATTATGCAAAAGCGTGCCTTTCACATTGTTCTATTCAACGTTTTCACAATTCATTCAACAATCTATTTCGGTGTACCGTCTGTCCATAGCGCATGAAAGCGCCAATCATTTTACGTGTTGGATGAAATACTTGCGTGTACGTCTATTGAGCTGGGTTCGGATAAGATTCAACTGCTCTCGTGTACAACTCTGCTGCATTTTGCAATATATTCTCAATTTCAAACTTCATTTTCCAACCTCTGAAATCGAACTGAAAAATATCTTTATCGTTTTATAATGAAGAAAAATGTTCTTTGTCAGAAACTAGTTATTTTATCATGTGAAGTCTGAAAATTATTTTGCATTTTTTTATGTATATAGTGCTTGAAAAGTACTTAAAAGGTGCTTATTTTTTGTTGAAAGATTTGGCTATGCACCCTGTATATATTTTCACCTATATCTGTGAAAGGACATGGGTGATTGTCCTTCGATTAAGTACCACCGAAATTCCCGTATCTTTCTTTTTCAGCACTGAAAATCCGCCTTATACATCTTGATGAAAATTGACCTTCTTCCAATTAAGTTACGCTTTCTTTCATATCTACAACAACGTGATTGTCGCAATAACAAAACGAAGTGTTTACACTCGGAAGATTTTCGTTAGTAATTCTCATTTTTGTGTGGCTATCATCTTCTCTCAATATGTGATGTTTCTTAGAATTTTTGTTTCGTTTGCACCCTTAATGCTTAACTACCGTTATTTTAATTTTATTAATATGGGAGACTTATCATTCCCGTTTAACTTTCTATGTAACGCTACTAGACAAGCGTTAAATTCCACTGCTTTCTTTTTTTTTTTTAGTTAGAGTCTCGATACATATTAACACAATTGACGACATTTGCAAATAACGCATATTAAAATGACAGGGCTTGTTTCTTATTCACGCAATCTAAAAATCGCGTGAATGGATTTGTTTTGAAAGTTTGACAATGGGATTATCTCAATCCTGATGGGTTGTTGAAATGTGGCATTTGTTAACGTTAGCAACCGTTCTTTCCATTCGAGTATCGATTCTCTTACGTAACACATTGCTACGGGGTTGAACATTGAAAGTCTCGGAAGTTGAGTCGACTTTTCAAGAACGGTTATAATATAAATGGCAATCAAGAATTCTAACTTGTTTTTTTTATTTATTTATTCACGATTTGAAAATAAAATAGAAGATGATGAATGCCTTCTATTAGGACAGATATCAAATGTAATGATGTTTCAAATTTAGATTTTTCAGATTTCTTTGGTCATGAGCCTAAAATAATTAAAAGAAATTGTTTACTTGTCATTTATTTAATTACTTCTCATTGATCATTTTTTTTAAAATCTGTTTTATCTAAGCTTAAGGCTTTTATTATATTAAAAAATAATCATGTAATATTAACTTAAATACATTTTTTATGATAAAAATATTTTGTTTACCGTCTATTATTTATTTAACGGTTATATATCTTTTTTAATGTTATATTTACTTAATGCATTTTATGTGAAACTGAATTCACTCGACGTATGTACTTAAAACATTAAAAGCTAATTCACTATTTAAAATTTTCAAAAGATTTATTTTTTCACACTATTGCAGAAATGAACCATTTTACTATGTGTAAGGAGGAGCTTGTTGGAAAAATATATTTATCCTCAAACGAATTGATGTGCTCAAGAATATCTAGATATGATTCTGAATTAACCCTTTTTTTGAGTATACTTCCAGGCACTCTTAACATATGTTTCATCCTCAATTATAATTGTCATTAGACGCACTTTGTTCACTGAAAAGTATTTTTTCTTTTCTTTCAAAGACCTCATTGCGGCCAGCTGCTTTTGTTTTACAATCATAATGCTATGCTAGCCTAATGTATAAAGAGTTTATAATCGTCATCAACTAGGTGAATTATACCGGGAGAGCCTGGTTGGCAGGGCCCTGGACTCTAGTTCTTGAGAACAGGAGTTCTAATTCAGCCGGAGGAAGATTTCCTGTTTGGTAAATAGTGACTGATGCACATTAAATATGTCGAGTCACAAAGTCCTTGATGTTCCCATAACAAATTGTACCTCTGGGGATACTGAATTGATTATTCGCTGGTTCAGGACAAAATTACGATCTGTGGATGTATAAATGGGTTCGCCCTTTAAACAGGTGTGACGTAACATCTGAAGGGCAGATTTGTTGGTTGCTCTTTCATCGGCACCCTATTAGGTGGGCCAATGTTGCTTAGGACAGATAGTACAGAGAATGAAAGAACATCCATGCCTTGCCAGGATTTGAACCCAGAACCTTTCTGATGCAAGGCCAGTTTCCTGACCCCTACACAGGTCGGTTAGCTCTCTCTTGCAACCTAAAGTCAACCGTACATTGCAAATAGCTTCAAAATCTGAGACAGATTGTTTTTTTAGTTGACTGGTTATCTTTAACTTGCACAACTTAATGGGACTTGGCAGATAAGTTTATATATGTTTTGAATTTCGAAGTTGAAGTGTTTGTAGGGTATTTATGTTTTCCCTAGAAAATTACGATTTCACTCAACGTTAATAAAAAGTTTAGCCGACTTTCACTGTCTGTGCTTTCCTCGTCATTAACATCACTATTATATAACTATTTGATAAAATGCCNAACTTAATGGGACTTGGCAGATAAGTTTATATATGTTTTGAATTTCGAAGTTGAAGTGTTTGTAGGGTATTTATGTTTTCCCTAGAAAATTACGATTTCACTCAACGTTAATAAAAAGTTTAGCCGTCGTCACGGCTGATTCAAAAACTTTCACTGTCTGTGCTTTCCTCGTCATTAACATCACTCAATAACTATTTGATAAAATGCTATGATCTATTTAGTCAAGTTGGTGGAAAATAAAATAATTTTTATTTAAACATTAGGGTCCTAGCACTAAATTTTTTTGTATATTTTTAGAAAATTAAATACTTTTAATTACTAGAATTCATTAAAAAAAATACCTTTTCATTATTGATTTAGCAAATATATATATTCTGGAAAGTGCTTTTCAAATTTGAAATTCCCGAATCATAATATGGTATTAAAAATGTTTTTGTTTTTTTTAAAATTATGCAGAATTTTGTAGCAATAAGCATTGAAAAGGTGACCGAGAAACCAAAGACTTACAATGAAATCTGTGCAAATTGAGCGCATTAAGAAGTGATTACTCAAATTAGCAATTCAAAATTTTTTATTCAAAAAAAAAATCTGTGTTTAGAAGCTTCCACGGGCTGCCAACCCAATTTATGCTAAAAAATATTGCTAGTAGTACTGAAAAGTCTTACAATTGTCTCCTCTTCCTGAAAATAGTTACTTTTTTAGCCTTTTCAGGCAAAATAGTTGCAAATAGTCGCCTGTTGCAACTCTGATAACACAAGATACACACGCCTCCAGCGTAGCGCCTGAAGAGGGCTCTGCAGAATGAGATGCCGCGGCCAGAGGAAACAAATGATGCTTGAATAAAGTGCCTGCTGTAGCTCTTCGAAACACTTCCAAAACCTGCACCAAAAATATTATTAAATTTGTTTATAAGTGAAGGATTAAATCTGCACATTAGATTTAGTTAAATAAGTTCTTTTTACTTACTTTCAATGATAAAATTTATTCTTTACAACTTATCATAAGCTTTCATGGTAACCGCTATAACTTGTGTGTGTTTTCTTTTCTCCATACTTTTAATTTGACTTTTGTTTTACTGTATTGGAAGGCAAACTCCCTTCAACTTTAAGGAGAAATGGTAATTTTTAAGTAATTCTTGTAAGCTAATTTTTAAATATTTTTTTTTAACCTTTTATATAATAAGCATATTCATAAAATTTTGAACTGCAAACTCTCCTGAAAAAATTTTGCTTTCACAATCAATCTGGTGGCTACATAACATTTATATATTCTTGTTTTAATAAATATGATTTAAAATGATTTTAACTATTATTACATGTAAATAATTTAAACCTACTTACTGAAGATTTACGACACGTCACTAATTGTGTCGTAACAAATATAAATAAAAAGGCTGATTGCAGTGACAAGTCAAATTTCCTTTTACAGTAGGGAACCGATTATCCGGAATGATCGGGACCATCGCTATTCCGGATAACTGATTTTTCCGGTTTTCTGAATCGCTACAAAAAGCCGTTTTTTTATTGTTAAACACAACTAAAAATAAAAAAATATTTAGAAATAATCTTAAAAAGAAGAAAAAACGATGAAGTAATACACTAATGATTATTTCTAAAATGATGGTAAGGTAAACATCTTTCAAAAAAGAAAGAAAAATCCTAAAATCTTATAAAAAAATTTTTTTAAATAGCGGGAAAATTTATCGAATTTCGTTCCGGTTTTTCGATTTCCGGATAATGGGTTCTGTACTGTACTACCAATAAGTAAAAGCTTCTATGAAAAGCAGAAGAGTTGGCGATTATGAAATATTTCTTGTAATAAATATAACATTCGTTCATGGTACTTTTATTCAATCATTGGTTCTAAGTATTTCAATTTGAAAAAACTAAACCCATCTATCTTAGACATACTATTTTGTGATAAAACTAGACCAAAATTAACAACTGAAAACATTACATTAATTGTAGGTTATCACGATAGTCAAAATTTAGTGGTCTCATACCAATGATTACCATTAATTTTGCTGGTTATATTATATGCCTCAATAGAGAATAACAGAAATAAAAATCAACCAAAAATATTGTTCAGATAAAAAATAAGCATATTTTGGCAATATAAATGTAACTTCTTAAGGAGTATAAATAATAAAGTATCTTTTCCCATCTGCACATGTTCAATATGTTACTGCACACCATTAATATCGAAAGCATCTTTTCCCATTTGTACTTGTTCATTAATATCTAAAGTAGTCTTCTCATCTGTTAAACATGTTGGAAGGCTTTTATTATGCGCAGGATAAGCAACGTAGTGAGAATATAAACTTGCTTGCAAATGATAAGCTTTTTGGCATACATTGCAAACATAAGGCTTTTTGAGGTTATGGAGGTTGAGGTGAGATCGTAAACTTTGTTTACGCAGGTACCTTTTATTACATATATGGCAAACATGTCGCAATATCCCTTCTCTATGAACACAATAGAAAAAAGCAAAACCATTTCGCAATTTATGTATACCTTTACATAGAGAGCATGGATTCTGCATGACATGCATGCTTAAATGTTGAATCATATCCTTTTTAGAAAGGAAACTGCGCCAACATGTATTGCAAGAATAAGAGTCTTTGCTAGTCTTTACGTAATGAGTCGAAATATGATTAGATAAGGCTACTTTATTTGGAAAAACTTTAATGCATACGCTGCAACAATAAGGCACCGTATGATCATGAAGACGCATGTGAGACACTAAATGTTCTTCATGTTCAAACAAACTGTTACACTTGCTGCAACAGTGAAGAAGTTTTTCTTTTACACGAACATGGGCAGTTAAATCACTCTGATGCCTTTCAATGCATGCATAAGGATTCTCCAAGTCATTTGTTAACGAACTTGCAGCAGTTTGACCACTACATTCTGGATTTTCATTGCACTGTGTAAGACTAAGGGAACTGTTACTTGTTTCACCATTAAAACAATATTTCTCATTACTATTTTCCATGGTTAAACATTCATTACTGCCCTCTCTAATTGAACAAAGTTTTATAGTACTGTCGTGGATAATGTTGTAAGTAGTTATATGCATTTTAGTGATCGCGTTTTTGTTAAAAATGTTATAAGTACTTAATAGATTCAAGGTAGGTATAAGATTGTGAACAATGACGTTATCAGAGGGAGAAAATCCCTTTAAGCATCGACCGCACGAATAAGGTTTTTCATTCAGATGAACGGAATCAGTGTTGAAAGTCCTCTCCCATGCAAACATGTTATAGCATTTACAGAAACAATTTCGTTGATCATTTGCAGCAGACATAGTAAAGAATCTTGTTTTTCTAGATAGAATTTTCTATGATATTTTAAAGAACTATATCGTTACAAGAGTTTTCTACCCGATCGTTACAGTGTACTTTACCCCCTTTTGTTTTGAAAATAAAAAAAATTAGATAGATTTTTTAGCATTCTGCTACGCTGTTAAAATATCCACTGCTTTCCCCTATACTATTAAATTTATTGAATTACATAAGTAAAAATAGCTTCCATATTAGTCCGAAAAGTTGCAAAATACATTTTTTTTCGTAGATTGCAACGAGCTCTTTGCTTTCGCTTACAGCTCTGTATTTCCATTTATGTGATCGAGGCTTGATTCATAGCTGCAGGTGGCAGATAAGTTAGTATCCTGAGCGCCATCTGTGCTTATCTTTATTCCCTTCCGCAGAGGATCAAAATTGTGATGGCATGTCTTCGGATCATCCTCCGGGATGTTTCCCAGACCGTCGCCAATAGCCCATTGTGCAGCTCTAGTGCGACGTAAAGTAACAACAACAGCTTATCCTTATATGTTCATAAAGGGAAATAAAAATTTGACTCCTAAACTTGCAGCCTTCGAAAGCGGATGGTGACCGATAGTAAAACCATAGATATCTGAGTGAAACAAAATCCAAACCTCGCAACCCCCGAAGAGAGAGGTGAAGGGAATCCCAGCTGTCGGACAAAGGTTTGGACCCTCCCCCTAGGAAGTGACGTTTTATATCGATAGTTATAAGAAAGTGACCAATGGCTTTTGTTTATCCTTTAATCGTTCTCCCTTCGCTTGGGGGTCGTGATCCATTGTTCTTTTAGAAAGAGAATGTATTCTTCTTTCATTTTGACAGTTGCATACATAGTCTAAAATAAATATCTACATATTTTAATCTTTGATCTTTCTTCAAGAATTTAATATGTAGTATTCGTTTTAAACTTGTTTGCATTATTGTATTTATTATTAGAGAATCGATTTACCTATAACTATATTTACTAACAGTTTGCCAAAAAAAAAAAATATTCTTAAAATAAAAAATAATACGTCAAATAATACAAATCAATAATACAAATCCAATACATCTTTATTTATTACCTTTTCTAAAAATCATACTTTGAATGTTGTTTTAAATAAATGTAATTGAGTCAATCAGAAATTTTATCACTAGATTATGAAACTTTAGAAATTATATGTATATTATCGAGTGCTTTTAGATTTAAAGAACTAATGATTAATAA